TTCTTTAGAGAAACACCTTAAACGATTTTTAAAGCTAATCCCTCTAAGCTAACACCAAAATCTATGGCTTAAATATCTTTCAGATTTTTTTTCTCCAAGGGAAAGCCTTTTAAAAAATCCAGGATTTCCAGATATATCCTCTGACAATTTTCTACCAATCCTTTACCTCCAAACCTTAAAACAATTGTACATCCATTATCCATCACCTCCTCAAATGTCAAAGGTTATATAGGCTTCATTATTCTAGGCCATAACTTTTCCATCCTTTCCACTTTTAATTAAGCCTGTCATCTTTGTAAAGTCAAAGTTATCAAGGGGGGAAAGCTGTCTTAGGGCAACTGGCCGCAACTTTTTCGCACGTACAGTACTAACTTGGCCGAGAAACTTTGTCCTTGGAGCGCAGCTGCAACTAATCTGCAGCAGCAGTTGTGGCACAAAAAAGGGGGGCACCTCCATCAGCAAATGGAGGTGCCAGAACCAGAACAATAGGGCGGCGACCTTCGAGCCAGGCATACTACTATACTACTACATACATATATATATAGATGTGTGTACTCAGCACAATTTCCACTGAACCATTATTAAATATAAGGTAAATATTGACAAGAGACGTTGGCGTTCATTTTAACGCGCTGTCAGACAAGAACAAAAAACCAAATAAAACCGAAAGGAGGCGGCAAACGCATTACCATTCGATGGAGGAAGTCGACTAAGTGATACCCTTTATAGGTTTTAAATATTAAGTTTAAAATGTAGAGCTTTTCCTTGTAAGAAATCATTTTTTTTAGAATTTTATTAAGGTTTTTGAAATATATTATGGCTTTGATTACTTTTCTGGTTTCTGGGATATACAATTTTCTTGTTTTAGCTCTGATTAGGGTCCCAGTTGTAAGGCTTAGAGGCGGTTTTTGTTAAAAATATGAATATATGATATGAAAATATGATGGTGTCTCTACTTTTGGAAAAAAGAGGCTTTTTTTATGAAAAATATGAAAAATAATATTGGAAAATACTACAAGTTTTAAGATATTTGTAGTATTTTAATAGAAAGACACTGAGATTTCTGGTCTATTTACTTTATAAAATTACATCATTATCTAAAGTTAATTAAAGATCTTATAAATTAAAAAAAAAATACTTATTTTTAAGATAGAATTACTAATATTTTAAGATATATAGACCATTTTGAGTATTTAAAATAAGAATTTTGTTAAAAACCTCAATCTAATAAGTCCTAATGCAAACCCTACCAACTCTATTAACCATAACTCGAATATTTGTTGAAATATAAATCTGAAACTTGGCCTTAAGCTATATTCAAGAACCTCAATGTGTCATAAATACCCAGTGCTACCCTATTTTCACATGCAACTGAAAAACGATGAGAACAAAAGCAGCGGCAGTTAGTTGGGCACACAAGATGCACTCATCTAGGTGAATAGAGGGATTCAGGTTCAGATGGAGATGGTGGTGGCGGTGGAAGTGGATGTGGAGGGACTTTGAGGCAGGTAGGTACAGATGCAGATGAGGGCCAAGTCCCCAGTAAGAGTGGTGGCAGTGAAAAAAAATAAAAATGAAACGCAATTAAGAAAAACTGCAGGAAAGCAAACAACTTTGGTTGACTGGGCTGCTGTGGCAGCAGCAGAGTTTTGTCAATGTTACGATTATACCACTACCCAGCAGTTCGGCTGGTGGCAATAGTTCTTTTTGGGTATGTATTTGGGTACTCTTTTGTGGGTACCCATATCGCTTACTATTGGTATAGCGGCTTGGGTACTCTCTGCTTCATGTCTTTTTTGTATAACGCTGCGAGTATATACTTTGGTACTCCTTTTGGGTACGACGGTCGGACCACCACAAAGCGCAAACGAAAATCTTCTCTTTTTTTGATTTTTGCTTCAGTATAACTTGAGCATATTTGGTGACACGACGTGAAAGTGTGGTAAATAATAAATAAATAATAAAAACACTAAATAAATATTAATAATACCCTCTGCAAGGGTATAAAACAGTGACAGTGAAGCAGTGATAAAAAAAGGATAAACAAGGTAATAATTATAATTATGGTTTGCAAAAGAGAAAAGAATTTATTTTCAGGCGTCAATTATAAGGCATTTGTTGCAGCCCTGGTGAAGTTGCCAGAAATTTAAAAAATATGCTAAGCGATTCCTTAATGATGGAGTATAAAGTCATTAAAAACAGCGCGAAATGTATATTTAGCACTACTTGGTAAGAATTTAAAAAAAATATTGGTTTTAATTTTAATAATGATTTTTTTTTATAATATTAGATGTAATTTCTGCTGATGGCGGCAATGGAAATATGCCTCAAACAACAACAACAACAACAACACATAATTTTCGCACACGTAACACATAAGTATTTTTAAGCCAAATAAAATGGTGTAGTTCTGTGAATTTCTGATAAGTAAAATAATTTTATAAATTTTTAAAAATGAATTAAATGTATTTCTATAATATTTAATAATTTTATACATAATAAAAAACAAAAATTTATAAGAAAAAAAAATCTTTTTCTGGGTATGTAAATCGCTGTCCCTTGGTAGATACCCAAGTGGCTATACTGTATAGAGTACCCAATTCCGTACCTAAATCGATGTCCCTTAGTAGTATGTATTTGGGTACTCCTTTTGGGTACCCCAATTCGATACTCATTGGTATACGAAGAGGTGACGATTGTACACCGCCTATGACATGCCTTAGTTAAATTCGCCTCTGAAATACATGTCTTAGGTATTGACTGGTGGGTACTCGTCTACCCCAGGGGCATAGTGAATTCGACACCCATGCACTAGTGCGGCGAACTGCTGGGACACAATAAGAAATAAAAGTTTAACAAAATTTACATATTTAAATGCCAAGGAAATGGTATGTTTTGTTGAGAGGGAAGCTGCATCTGGAGAAAGGTTTAAAATAAAGAGAGAGAGAGTGAGAAAGAAAGGTGCATAAAGGGAGAAAGAGACAGGGAGAGATGCAGAGAAAGAGAGAAAAGAAAGCAAAATGCATAAATCAATTAATGCTGGCGATTTACGTGGCAGCCCCATAAATGATTATTCATTCCGTTGCTGCAATTTTTAGACGGAATTTTAATCATCGATCTGTAAGAGGGTCCCAGCAAGTACAGTGGATAATCGAGGGAGAGAATGAGGGATTTTTAATAAACAAAATTTGATATTTTTCTTCCTTTGATTGGGTTTCAAAATATCTTTCGATAAAATATCTATCAAGGATTTGGATTTTTTTTATAAAAAAACAGACTTAAAGCCTTCTCATTTTTAGTTTAACTTTAGTGTATAGTTTTAAATAAATATTGTTGTTTTTTGAGGCATTTAATTAAAAATATGAGTTACTTTTTGGCTTTTGGGAAAGGTTCAAAATTATTGCTCAAAATATAATGTAGACTTATAGGTACTAACTTTATGTTAGTATTACTTTCATAATTCAGTCTTAATCTAAAAAAAAAACTTTTTTTTTACACTAATATTTATGGATCATAAATGATGCTTATATTCAAGACATCCTTTATTTGTCAATCTCCACTGTATGTTTATTTATTTGCACAGGATGTGAGTGAGTGAGTATATGTATGTGTGTGAGTGCTCGTAAACACCACTACACACACACACAAATAATAAAAAATAAAAAAAAAATAACACAAATGGACCCACGGGTGTGCACGCGATTATCAAATTTATGGCTGATGTCAGCCGAGAGGGAGCGAGAGGGAAGTCGACTGAGCAAGTGAGAGGGAAAGGTGCTGATTTTTTCTAGTTTTTATTTATTATTTTTTTTAGCAATTTAAGCTTTTTTATTAAAGATTTCTAGACTTATATGATGAAATTTTAATTTTCAAACAGGTATTATGAATTATTATATAAAAAAATATAAAATTAAACTTTTTTTAAAGATATTTTTAAGAAATAGTTTAAATATTTCATTAGAAAGTCCTTAGAAAGCCTTTCTTTTAAGACCTTAAGGCTATAACTAGTTGAGAATTATTAAAAAACACAAACAATAAAGAAATATTACGCTTATTTGGAGGATTTCTTGAAATAATAAAAGTTTTCATTTAGAAAGCTCTTCAAAAATTAAGAAAATATTAAATTTCCATAATTCCTAGAACCCCAGACTAGTATAACCCCAAAATCCCTCTCCCTAGACCCTCTAGTCATGGCTATCCGTCAGTCATTTTTCGCAAAAGTGGCCAATGCTCTGTCAAGTGTTTATCAGGCCACTCTGGATATAATATGATTTATTGCCCCCTCCCTAGCCTTAGAGGGCCTCTCCACTCCATTGTATGATTGCAACTTCCCCTCATTCGCGTGGTTCTGGATCTGGATCTGGAGCACTCCATAATCAGTAGTACCAACCATACACACACACAAACATATTTCAGAATGCAATTCCAAGCTCCAACAAGGAGCAACAGTCGTAATGCCAAAAAAACAACAAAAATATGGAAAAAGTTACGGCCCCAATAGCCCTCTAGCTCCTTGTCCTGACACTTTTATCGATCCAACAATACACGGAGAGAAAAAATGGCATACCATACACCACCACTAGCCACCAGGATTACGTCGTTATGTGGCGCCGGGTTCTTGAAATGGCGGTTCCAGGGGATGGGGGGTTCAGGGGTCGTAACTTTTGTGGGGCATGCGCACTCTACCGCCGCAGTGTGGCAATAGACACGAAAATACAAAAACATGGAATGCACTTTACATAACTAGGATTGGGGAGTTAGCAGGACTCATAGAGAACTCCTTGCCGGTGAACATGGAGAAAAAAAAGAACTATAATATGATATAGGGGTTCTTTTATAATATTTGATATTAATATTAATAATGGTATAAGAGGACTTGGATTAAAAATATTAAAAACTATCACTTAAGAACCCTGCTTTATGAAACCCTCTTCTTAAAATCTCTATAATTATATACTCGTATCTCTATAGATCTTTAATCTCTAAAAACCCCTACTTACTGGCATTCATTCATAATCTCCTCCTGGCTGCGAACCTGCACCGGAGCCAGTTCCTCCACATTCTCCTCGTAGTTGCCAAAGCATTTGGTTATCTTCTCATCGAATGTATTCACCAGATCCTCCAGACTGCCGCCAAAGGTCTCTGTAAAGTTGTCCACATGATCTCCAACGCCGCAGCGTTTATCCATGGCGCCGGCATCCTCGCCAGGAACGAGACCCACATCGGACAGACCCAAATCCAAGGCACCCTGCATGGTGTTGCAATTGGGACTGATGCTGCCGCCGCCAATGTTGCCATCAACACCCCCATTCTTGCTCACATGGGCATCACGGACGGCGTCCTCCAGAAGCCGTAGCTTACCGGCGGCATCCTGAGACTTGCCCGCAGCCGCTGCGGCATCCTTAAGATTCAGGTTGAGGGTGTCGTTGAGAGCGTTCTGATTGGAAATGTAATCGCAGCCGCCCCACTCGTCCGTCTCCTCGAACTTTGCTAATGGAGCCTCGAATTTTAGCTCGGCCATTTTGGTGCCGAGGTCACGCATGGCACGCGAGCTCAATGGGGTGATACTCAAAGGATTCTCGCCGGGATTGCCCTTTGAACTATTCCAATTGGATCTTATTTTTCTATCAATTCTTATGTTTTTTTTTTGTTTTTTCGACTGCAGAAATTTTTGCAACCCCTAATTTTTGTTGTTTTTTTTTTTATGTTTTTCTCAGGGGGTTGGTATTGGTGGCTGTGTGGGGGGCACCCCGGGTTTTCCGATGTCGTCCTCTCTTCGATTCGTTTCTCTAATTTTCGCCTCTTGGCCGTATTTTCTTTTCCGCCAGCAGACCCACTAGGTGTTAACACTTTAAAACAATACAAAAAAATTACACAAACACTCGCGGTTATAACTGAAATATCGTATATATATAATCTTTTTTTTTTGGATAAAATGCAGTTCTGTGATCACGGGATTACGGGATTATAAATAAATAAAAGCGACGAAGCGACCCGATGTGCGCAAAACAATATTACTTCGCCGTTCGCCGCGTTCAACCGTTCGGACCAGAAATCTTGTTGTGGTCGTCGTTTGTCAGGGATGTCCAAACTATATTTTTTCTTCAATTTATCGAATAATCGATGTTTTTCAGGGGCGGAAAAAAAACATTGAAATTGTTATCGAAATAAATTTTTAAATTTAAATGTAACATGTTGGTAAAAATAAAGAATTTTTGCAGATAAAATACCCAGCTGGGTTGAAACACGATAACCATCGATTTCTTTCCCCTTTTTATTTCCTAAAATTTTTCTTTTTTTCCTTTTTGCATAATATTTAAAAACCCGTTTTTAATTATTTTAACTAATCCAAGAGTTTTATTCCTAGTCACTAATAAATTTGTATTTTTTATTTATATGATTATTTAACCTTAAAAGTTAAGTAGAGCGGTACGAATATGATTGTACGTACCGAATCGGTTAAAGTGTGACCACACCATTAAACATAACGTAGATAATCGCAAGACATAAGGTAGTCTTAGTTTAAATACAATTTTTAGGGAAATAAACCCTTATCGACCCTTTAAATAAATAATTATAAAAATAACAACATAGAGAAGCTTTCTTGAGTCTTTTCAAACAAAAATATATACATTTTAGATATCTATTTTCATATTTTAACAGTCACACTGCAAAAGTGTTACCATATCAGCAAAAAAATACCTAATAGACAATTATTGTTCAAATTTTCAAATTTAAAAACGAGCTTTGGAAGATTCTGAAGAATAAATTAAAAAATAAAATTGCTGTAAAATAAATAATAATAATAATAATAATCATAATGTATTTTATTTGGTAACAATTTCTTCTGTTTTCTATATTTTTGTTGGTATTTCATAAATTTGGTTTTCGTAAATGCACTATTATTTCTTCAAATTTTAAACAAACTTAATTCAAACTCGATTCTTCGTTGTAGTATATAGCAATTAAATTTTAAAAATTAAATTAAAGGAGGGCCAAGTGTGGCTCCTTTAAAAGTGTGACCAGCATTGCAAAAAGCTATCTAAAGCTCATGAAAGAGACTTATCCTTTTCTCTATGTTCTTCATTTTCCTAAAAAGTCTTAACCGGCTTTTCAAACATAACTTTTTTTAATATATTTAACTTTTACTGGTGGACACGTGCCTTAGTATATGTATTTACTATGTAAGATAGTGTGGTTGATGGAAAAATATGAGAATACCTAAGCATTCGTATCTCTATTTCAACTGTGTTTATAAATACCCAATAAAATATATCTACTTTCATACCAAACTTTAAATGCACTTTAAAAAGTTGGAGTAATATTTAAAAAGTTTTTAATTGATTTAAATATTAGAAAAACTGAAATTATACAATATTATGTAATATTTTTATTATTAATCATAACTTTTTTTTTAAATATTCAAGATACCCTTTCTTTTTAGAGAATTATTAAAAACACAAACATCGCAAAACAAACACACACACACACACTCACACACAATTAAGCCACGAGCCCCCAAACGAATAACAAAAACAACAACAAATCATTTAAGAAAAAGAGCAGAAAACAAAAACAACAGCTGCTGCGCCAGGTTCTTATTGAAAAGGTGTGTGTGTGTGCTTTGGGTGTATGGGGGCTATTTGACGTTGTCTCCCCCACACACCGCCCCAGCCCCACCACCTACCGCCGTCAAGTTCCCGACTCGTATATCAACAATCACACCACGCTATATAGTATTCTCCTCCATACATGCCTCCATATACTCCAAGTGGGCAAAACATCGGCGGCTGCGTTCAGTTCTAGTGGAACCATCGTTTGGCGAACACGCGATCCCCCCGTTGCTCCCCAACTGAGATCCGATCTGATCCGATCCTCCCGAGCCAAAAATCCACATATCCACGATGTCCCTTGTGCGTTTAATTGGAGCTGAGGTGAGTTAATGACTTCCAATTAGAATTCCCCCCTGGGAAGATAGGGGAGAAAGTATAGTGAGAGTGTAATGGCACATGTAACATAGGTGTCGTTACACCGCTCTCACTCTCACTTTAGTCAATTAAATAAGAATGAGCAGGTGCGCTAGTGTAAGTGTGGCCGTGAAAGAGACTATCAGGGGCGTTGGAAGAAGGGATCTATTAAAATAAATTATAAATAAATATTTTTTTATATATTGTTTCTAAAAATTTATAAATTTTTGTATATTTTATTTCTAAATAAACATAAAAATGATCATCTTATCCCTTTATGATATGCCCCTGGGCCAAATCTTCAATTGACAACACATGTTACGCAACTTTATACTATATGAGAAGCAGTCGGCTAGCAGAAACAGATAAAGCGGTGTTGGCAAAAATAAAAAAAAAAGTATCTCAAAAAAACAAAAACAATTATGAGGGGGGATTTAGGGAAATATGTTTGAAATTCAATAAAACGCGATAAGCCGCGAGCGAAACAATTCCATGCCACTTCAAATGGTCTCTGGGCCATATATTCTGATAAGAGTGGGCGTGGCAGCCCCCTGTATGCCCGCCCCGGCAGGTTATCAACCCAGCTACAAAAAACCTCACCCCACCGAATAGATTCTTGGGGCCATTGAGGTTAGGATTCCCGGCCACTTTCCGGTATTTTGCATTTAAAATTAAAGTCAAGTGCAACAAATTTAAGGCATTAGTTTACCAGTAACGAAAGTTGTTCGTTCTTTATATAGATTTTTTCATCTTCCAAAGCATATAGATAATTTAGTTCTATTTAAATTGTTTTTTTAGCATTGTAAATTTAATTGAAATATGTTTTCGAGCTTTTTATAGAGTTTTTACATAAAAAAATGTAGATTTTGAAGTGTCTTCCTAGTTTTTACGACTTAAAATAATAGTTTATTAAAAAAAAGTATCTGCTTCCCCCATAATCAACCATTTATATTTATTTTTCAAGTCTCTAATGAATAAAATCCCTAGTTACAAGTATTTGTCAAAAAATTTAATAAAATATTGTAGAATTTTTAAAAATGTGAGACAATTTGAAACAGTTTTTGATGTTTTTACCAATTTACTTTATACATGAATTAAAACCATTTCGTCACAAGTATCTTTAGTAAGCATTTTACATTTTTTAGATATTTAAAATAGAATGAAAAATATATACATATATAAATAGGAAAATGATAAAAATAATAAACATTTAGATTAAGATATCACTAATGTTAAAACTGTTAATGAAAACCACAAAAAATTACGCAATACATTGCTTTCGTCACCAGGCTCGCCAGATGGCCAAGCGCTCCTACTCCTCGGCCGCTCCCACCACCAAGCTCTTCATCGACGGCAAGTTCGTGGAGTCGAAGACCAAGGAGTGGATCGATGTGCACGACCCGGCCACCAACAAGGTGGTGACCCGTGTGCCAAAGGCCACCCAGGAGGAGATGCAGACGGCCCTGGAGTCGAACAAGAAGGCATTCCGCTCGTGGAGCAACCAGTCGATCCTCACCCGCCAACAGGTGATGTTCAAGCTTCAGGCCCTGATCAAGGCCAACATGGGCGAGCTGGCCAAGAACATCACCAAGGAGCAGGGCAAGACCCTGGCCGATGCCGAGGGTGATGTCCTCCGCGGTCTCCAGGTGGTGGAGCACTGCTGCAGCATTCCCTCCCTGCAGATGGGCGAGACGGTGGCCAATGTGGCTCGCGACATGGACACCTATTCTCTGGTGTTGCCTCTCGGTGTTACCGCTGGAGTGGCTCCCTTCAACTTCCCGGCCATGATCCCGCTGTGGATGTTCCCGGTGGCCATCACCACGGGTAACACCATGCTGCTGAAGCCCTCGGAGCGTGTTCCCGGCGCCACTATGCTGCTGATGGAGCTGCTCAACGAGGCTGGCTGCCCACCCGGTGTGGTGAACGTGATCCACGGCCAGCACGACGCCGTCAACTTCATCTGCGATGCCCCCGAGATCAAGGCGGTGTCCTTTGTTGGCTCCGACCAGGCCGGCAAGTACATCTACGAGCGGGCCGGCAAGAATGGCAAGCGCGTCCAGTCGAACATGGGCGCCAAGAACCACGGTATCATCCTGGCCGATGCCAACAAGGAGAACACCCTTAACCAGTTGGCCGGAGCCGCCTTCGGTGCGGCCGGACAACGGTGCATGGCCCTCTCCACGGCCGTTTTCGTGGGTGATGCCCAGTCCTGGATCCCCGATCTGGTCGAGCGTGCCCAGAAGCTGAAGGTGAATGCCGGTCATGTGCCCGGAACTGATGTGGGTCCCGTGATCAGTGCCGCCTCCCGGAAGCGCATCAACGATCTGATCGAGTCCGGCGTCAAGGAGGGTGCCAAGCTCGTCCTGGACGGCCGCAAGATCACAGTGCCCGGCTACGAGGAGGGCTACTTCGTTGGACCCACCATCCTGAGCGATGTCACCCCCAAGATGAAGTGCTACACCGAGGAGATCTTCGGCCCGGTGCTGGTGATCCTCAACGCCGACACCCTGGACGATGCCATCGATATTGTGAACGCCAATCCCTACGGCAATGGCACTGCTGTCTTCACCACCAACGGAGCGGCCGCCCGCAAGTTCGTCAACGAGATCGATGCCGGCCAGGTGGGCGTGAATGTCCCCATTCCCGTGCCCCTGCCCATGTTCTCGTTCACCGGCACCCGCGGCTCCTTCCGCGGTGACCACCACTTCTACGGCAAGCAGGGCATCAAGTTCTACACCCAGACGAAGACGGTCACCCAGCTGTGGCGCGAAACTGACGTCACCCACACCCAGGCGGCCGTGGCCATGCCCACCATGAAGTAAGGCTCCCTCAGGATTAGGATACTGCCCAGCTGTATCCCTTAGCCTGTTCCACGTATTGAATTTCTGGATATATTTTGCACAGGACGTATTTAGAAGTTAGATACAATGAAATTATTGCATTTATTTTTGTGCCTGTTTATTAGATTTAAGATTAAGAAAACAAATTAATAATAAAATGTTTCAAAGTGTAAAGAATGAGTGGGGTTTTTGGTTAAAAAAAAGGGAAAAGTAATTTTTATAAAATATTGACTAAATAATTAATTGAAACAGGAAATTATAAGGTATAGTATCAGAAATCCTTTAAAAATAAAACATTACTTCTACATCAGTTAGTATTTATTGAATTTCAAGAATTACTTTCTTATAAAAAAAAGTTTGAAATTAATTTAAATAGGGAATTAAATGAAATAAAATAAGAAATCTGTATAAGATACCCGGTACTTTTTCCATAAACAGAGCTTATTATTAAATTAATAAACTGTTTCAATATTCCCATTTTCTAAAGTTTTGGCTTTTAAAAAGGAAAAGTTAGTAATTTTGGCTATATAATTAATTTTAGAAGAAAATCTGATAACCGATATAAATGATAAAATGATAACCCGGTACTTCTAGAAAATATTATTACTATTCAAAAGCTATTTTAAAAGTTGCGGGTTTCTAATCATTGCATCTTTAATTTCAAAAAGAAAGAGATAGTAAATATAGTTTAATAAGTAATTTCAGGTGAGTTGTGAAAGATTATTAAATGATTTAAAATATTTTAAATGATACCCCCAACTTCTGCTAAAAAAATATAACACTTTCAAACCCCATGAACGATCCCAAAGGAGGATCGGAGGTTTGAAAAAGGAGGAGGTTTGGAAGGAGGTTTTGAAAAAGGAGTTCTTACTTTAAAAAGAAAACTTAATTATAAAAGACTTATTAAAAAAATACGAATTGAAATGGAAATCATAAAATATAATATTAAATATCTAGATTTGGTAGCCGGTACTTTTTTTTTTGGGAATGGTACACCTATAACATAATATTACTATTTTAAAAATATTAAACCCGATTTCGTTTACTTAAAAGTATGTTTATAATTAAAAAAATAAATGGTTTACAAATTAAAATAAAGAATTTAGTATGAGGAAAATTATAAAATATATATAAATTGTTGTATGGTGTTATATGAATTAAATATGATACACGGTACATATTTCAAAAAAATGTATTATTGATTCAAACTTTTTAAACCAAAACTATGTATCTTAAAAGTTAGTAGTGTTGAGAGAAAATTTACAATTCTGATCAAAAATTTGTAATTAATAAATAACAGTTAATTTAACTAAATTATATTTGAAATGTATAAATGATACCCGGTACTTTTTCTACAAAATAATATCTCTCTTTCAAAATCCTAATAGTAGGTTCCCGTTTTCTTATAAGAAGGTTTATGATATAAGATAGAACTAGTTAACAGTCCTGATTAAAAAACTATAATTAACTAATAGCAGTTAATTATAAAACAAAATATTACAAATCTGCAAGGGATACAATATACTACTTAAAAAAAACAAGATTTCTTTTTCAAAACCTCTAGTTTTATTCCGATTTCAAACCTTTTTCAAAACCCACTTACTTTGCGAAAGGAAAACGCCAGCATTTCTTTAACATCGTCCATGTATTGTACAAAGAATCAAAAACAAAAGATATATATATATATCTGAGTATATATACCTCGATACATACTACATATATATGAACACATAGCCCGGTAACAGAGATGCACCAGCGAAACCACCACCAGCCAGCGGCGGATCACACAATTATACTAAGATATCTAAACTAAAAACCCACACCCTAGTTCCATTCCTGGAGCTATTCCTGGGCCGGTTCCTGCGCCGATTCCTGGTTGCCAAAGGCCTGAGTGGCAACCAGTTCCCGGAAGACACCCTCCGGGATGTTCATCAGTTCCGTGTAGTTGCCCTGCTCCACGATCTTGCCGTCACTCAGTACGGCGATTTGGTCCGCATTCCGGATGGTGCTCAGTCGGTGGGCAATGGTCAGGACAGTGCGGCCTTGGACTAGCCGATCCAGGGCGTTCTGCACCAGTTGCTCGGACATGGCGTCCAGGGCGCTGGTCGCCTCATCCAGGACAAGGATGGTGGGATTCTACAAGAAGATCGGAGGATAAATAATCGCGAGGATTTTGTTACCATGCTCACCTTAATAAGTGCCCTGGCGATGGCGACGCGCTGCTTCTGGCCGCCACTTAGCATCATGCCCCGCTGGCCCACCATCGTGTCCAGGCCGTCGGGCAACTGATCCGTGAACTGGCTAATGTTGGCCTCCTCCACGACCCGCTGAAGCAGCTCTTCGTTGGGCTCATCCCCGGGATTCACGCCGTACAGAATATTCTCGCGAATGGTGCCCGAAAACAGAACCGGTTCCTGGCTAACCGCTCCGATGTTGTCCCTTAGCCATTGGGGATTCACCGTCCGCAGATCGATGCCATCCAGAGTCACTGCACCCGACTGGGGATCGTAGAGTCGGAGCAGCAGTAGAGCTATTGTCGTTTTTCCCGATCCCGATCGACCCACCACCGCTGTCGTCTGGCCGGGCAGTAGGTTGAGCGAAAAGTCCGAGAGGACAGCAGATTCGGCGCGTGTGGGGAACGAGAAGTAGACATTCTGGAAGCCCACATCACCCAACGGTTTGCCGTCCGGTACAATGCCCTTGTCAATGGGTATGGAGCATTCGCGGTCCAGAATCTCCCAGATCCGTTCCGAGGCACCCACGCCCTTGTTCAGTTGGCTGTAGAAATTGGAGAGACCGTTCATCGAGATGGCCACGTAGCCGGCGTACAGCATGAATGCGGTCAGAGCGCCGATGCTGATTTGATCCTGAAGAACTAAGGTGCCGCCATAGTACAGCACCGATATGATTATAAAGTTGCCCGAGAAGCCAGTCTGAAAGTGAAGTTGAGATAATTGGAGCTCAGTGGTGGTAGAGTAGAGATCTTACCAGTCCAAAGAATATGGATCTGGCCCGGGTTTCCTTGTAACCAATTTGGAGAGCCTCGTCCAGCTTTTTGTCGAAAGCCTTCACCTCCTGCTGTTCCCGGCAAAAGATCTTCACGGTCTTCACATTGCCGAATCGCTCCTCCGCATACTTCATGATTTGTGCATACTTGTCCAGTTCCTTGCGGGTAATCTTACGAACATAGCGCCCATAAACGATGGCCATTCCAGCCATGGCGGGCACCACCAGTGCGCTTACTGCCGCCAATTGGGGCGAGGTGTAGATCTGTAGAATAATTCCAAGATTAAACAGAGTAGCAATGGCAAAGATAACCCACCATCATGCCTGTTCCCACGCCAATCATGGCCAAGGATCGAAGTCCATCGGAGACGTTCTGGCTCAGGGAAATGCCCACCATGTAGGTGTCGTTGCTGAGGCGGTTGATTAGTTCACCAGTGCCCTTGGTGTCGAACCAACCCACCTCCTGCATCAGCATCGATTTGTACACCCGAGATCTAAGATTCTTTACAATCCTGAGAGCTACAAGTAGATTCCTATTTGAGGATAATCCTGGACAGATATGGCTTTCAAGTTACCTGCATTTCCAAACAGGTAGACCCTGGAGAAGTTCGCGATTCCTCCTAAAACAAATATCGCGAACAACATCATGGAGTACTCGCCCAGTCGAGCAACGGCGGCACTGTCCATGCCCGCCTTGTTGAAGACCACGTCGATGACCTTGCCGAGGAACATGGGCACCGACATGGTGATGGCCGAGGAGACAATCAGACATAGTATACCCGCTGGAAGGAGAAATCAAAGCATTAGATTTTGAAAGGTAAACATATAACCAAGTAATCCCCCACCTGTCAGCACCCATTTCTCCGACTTGGTCAGGCTTAGAAGGCGTGCGTACTGTGATCGGCCCATAGTAGCAGGAACGTCGACTTTAGGTTTTGGTGGGGCGGTTAATGGTGAAGTAACGGGTACCTTTCCTCGCTTTGGAACATTGCCTATCAACCTAATCTTTTTGGCAGTCTGGGCCAGACCGCGTCGCAGGCACCGCGTCGGCATACGGAGCGCATGGAACAACAGCTGGTGGTGGCCACCTAAGCTGGTGGACGGTGCCACCGTTGCTGGTGGCCTCGGCGGTGTCCGCAATCCTCGCTGCAGGCACCGGCCCAGCTGCGGATACTGTCGGTGGAGGTGATGATGGTGGTTATATGATGCTCGGCAGATTTGCGAGACCCGGAGAGTCGTGCAGCCGTGTGTTAGCCTCGTGCAATTCAACAACATTGTGATTTCTGTCTACGAGCGACTCGTTTTCATTCAGCACCATAAACAGAAATCAACCAAAATTGAGAAAAATGTTTTCGAATTGGCGAAAATCAAAAAATAAACCTTAATCAGCTGCTGATGGTTAGTTCTTCATGCGCGATCAGCTGTTCGGTGGCGGTCCACTCTCCGGCAGTGCTGTGTAGCTTTTTTTTTTTATTAATCGAGTAATATATAAATATACAAATAATTTTAGCTTATGTTTCTTTGTGTATTTAAAGAAAATAGTTTTTCATTGTTTTTGAAAAGAATTTTTTTTAAATATTAAAGTTAATTTTAATAAACTGACAGTAACTACAAAGCATCAGCTGATGCCTTTTGGGTTGATTTTGGTGGGGGGTGTAAACAGTGTTTTCCAACACTGTCCAACGATAACACGTGCGAGATTCGAAATTGCCGTGTTTTTTTTTTTTAAACCACCTGAACGAATGCACTAACATGGACACCGGCGAAGGTTAGTGGCTAATCAACCGGGGTAAACCCTAATAAACGTCTTCTTCCTCCGAATCTTCCACAGAGCTGAAGTCCTGGCTGCAGGAGGAGACCAAACCGTATGCGGCACGTGTTGAATTCGCTCTACGCGTCTGGCAGTCTGTGGAGTTTCCCTATCCCAGCAAGTTTGAGATCATCATCCGATGGCTGAGCGAATCCCTTGGCTCTTGTACACAACTACCCATCCAGCAGCTAAAGGATCTCGTCCAGTTGCGCGCCCAACCGGGCTTGGTGAGTCAGGAGTGCAAATCGGCGTTTATCCGAGCTCTGGTGGCGGTGGCAGGAACGGATTCGACCGGAGACGAAGCTATTCTCGGTCTCCTGTCCAGTTGTCTGAACTTTGAGCTGCTCCAGGATGCCCTGCGTTCCGATTACAATCTTCTGACCGAGATCTTCGCCTGCATCTTTAGAAGTCATCAGAAATGCGTCGAAAAACGTAGGAATGCTGGTGAGGATCGTGAGCTGGAGCACACCGATGCCGAGTTTGTGATTCCCATCATTAAGCAGCTGTCGGACATGGCACGGAGATCCCAGAAGGTGAAAGACCTCGTCACCTGCCACGACAACCAATCCCTCCGCCCTCTGGTAGAGTTGCTCCTCACCCTGAAATCGCACTGCGTGGAGGAGCTGGCCGAGCTGGAGAAGCAGCTGAAGGCACACTTTAAGAAGGAGCGCATCGCCAAGCAGCCGCTACATGTGAAGCTACTGCTCCTGGAGGCGGAAGTCCTCAACAATCGCTTCGAGCCCAATGATCTAGTCCTGACTATTAGGGCGGTTTTCCGGGAGAGTGAGCCTCTGCTGCTAGCCGCCCACTTGCTAACGTCCCTGCGCAAGTACGACATATCCTTGCAGTTCGGTATGGACAAGAAGAAGAAGAGCAAGAGAAACCGAGAGAAGTCCGACAGCGAGGAGGAGGAGGAGGGGGAGAAGGCCGCCGGGTCCACACCCAAAGTCAAAACCGCCTTCACCTACATTTCTGAGAAACTTCTTGAGCTGGTTCGCGATCACAAGCAGACGCACCTGAAGGAGGTCCTGATACTCCTGTGCTCGGCCCTGCGCCTGAACCCAATGCTGTTGGAGCACAGTGTCTACCAGATCACCGTTTGGCTGCTCACCGCTCCGAAACAGAGTGCCGTTGAGGAGCAGCTGTACTCCGAGTATCTGATCCTGCTGCTGGACATGTTCCGGCGCCTGAGTCGGGCCGAGAGGTTCATCATGAATCTCCTGAAGAGTCTAAAGGAGTGGCTGGGCAAGTACCAGCTGCCAGTCGCCTCGGGGGAGAGCAAGAAGCGTCGCCTGCAAGACTCCGTGAGCGAAGGAGCTGAGACCGAAACGGAACAGCACTTTCTGCAGATCATTCTGGCGGAGACATCGCCCACGTCAGCTCCCCCGGCCTCGTCCTCGAACGATGCCTTCAAACAGCTGAATCACACCTGGCCGAGTCAATCGGCGGGCATGGCCTTCACCCGCCTGGTCAGCCATTTGATGACCAAGCCGTCGCTGGTCATATGGAAGACGCTGCTCCACTCGTTTGCCGAGCTGCTGGAGGAGGAACAGCCTCAGGCTGTGCTGCCCGAGAATCTGGACTTCTCGCGGGACTTTCATGCGGCGCTGTTGTGTCAGTACTTGAGCGGCACTCGGCTGGCGGAGCAAGTGCATCTGCATCAGGGTGAGGTGGAACAGCAGCTGCAGCACACTGCCCAGGTGCTGGAGCAGTTCGGACGCCGGTTGCTCAGCCAGGAGCACAATCGTCGCCTCATGAACGCCTTCCTCGAGTGCACGGAGCGGGCCAGTGGCTTTGAACTGCTCCTGGCCCACTACTGGCCGGACGGTCATCCCGCCAGCCAGAGATCCGTACAGCTTCGCGGATTCCTGCCGCCCTCCGAGTGGACTCTGATCCAGCAGAGAGTCCACAACTTTGGCAAGAGCTCGTGCCGCCTGCGGTTGCAGCGCCTGGAGCTGCAGCTGGCGGAGAGCGGCTGGTTGCTGCAGGCCGATCAACGTGGCGTGGGATGCCCCGTCGCCCTGGCCGAGATCGTGCCCGCATCTCAGCTCTTCCGGCTAACCAGGCCCCAGAAACAGTTGCGCACCCAACAGGGGCTGCAGGATCTGGAGGACGCGGACTGCGTGGAGCTGTTGGCCTTGAAGCTCCTTCAGGAGTACGCGGCTTCTGTGAAGGCGGCCAAGGTGAAGGGTTCCCTGCTGGCGAAGCTCAAGCTGGAGGAGCAACTGGACCAGGCTGCTCTGGTGAGCTTCCTCAAGGAGAAGGCTGCCACCGACAAGGATGTGGAGGATCTGCCTTCAGCTCTGGAGACTATACAGGGATTACAGGGCCTACCTCTGGTGCAACTGTCCAGCTCCATACGCTCCCGCCTCTGGCTGGTCACCTTCGTCCTCTACAGGGATCTCAGTCGCAACCAGCAGCAGGAGGAGGAAGCCAAGAAGCTCCTGGAAGTGCTAATAGGTGAGTGACTAGCTTTTAGTTTGTGGGATTCAGGATTGACGAGTAACCCTCCCAACAGACCTGATGCACTTTGGGCAACCGTTGCCCGTCTGTGAGTTCATCCCAAAGCTGGCCACGATGCTGGAGATGATTCCCACCACCACCGCGGAGGGCTGGAGCTTCTACGAGACTCTCTTCGCGCGCTGCATTCGTCGGCAGGGTGCTGGCAGCGAGTCGTTCCTCGTCAGCTGCTCGGAGCACCTCAAGGAGCAGCTGACGGCCAACAGTAAGCTTAGTGGGGAGCAGACACGGCTCCTGCTCCTGGCCATCCAAACGCTGTCCAATGCCAGTGGTGCTCAGGGCCGGCGGTTGCAGCGGCACCTTCAGCCGCTGGTGGAGATCTTCGGGGAGATGGTGGCTCACAAGTTCCGCTCGAAAAAGAAGGAGGCATCCGTCTACATGGAGTTTGTGGACGACACCCGGGCGGGCTATGCCACCTACCTGAGCAGCTGCATCAATCGGGTCGCCAAGCAGGAGCGCGAAAAGGAGCAGCTGGAGAAGAACAAGAAGGCGGAGGAGAAGGAAAACGAAGGTCAGGAGGAGGACACGGACATAAAGAAGAAGAAGAAGAACAAGAAGAAGGCCAAGGAGGAGCAGGCCCCGGAGCAGGATCTGTCGGAGACCATCGATGACAAGTTCCGGCGCATATGCAAGATATACATTGGATACTCTGTGAGTTTTGTGGTTGATATCCTTGATATTCCAGTACTAATCTTTGTGGCAAATCCTCTCCAGCTTAACTACCGCAATCCGCACGCCATCCGCCTGCTGAACGTGGCCCTCACCCATCGCCAGCGGCTCCACTTGGATCCCGATGAGATCGAGTTCGTGCTGAGCTCCTATTGGCGGCAACTGAACGAGGACATCGAAACGGGCGACATCTCCGCCAGCACAGTGGAGCCGGCCATCAAGCTGATCATCGGCTACAAGACCAACGAGGACTTTCTACTGCTCCTGCGGCGCCTCTCCAGCCAAATCGGGGAGATGCCGCGTCCGGAAACGCCCGCCCAGCATACGGCCCTGAGGAATGTCTTGACTCTGCTGGGACTCTTTGCCAAGTGCTCGCTGAGCAGCGTCAAGGGAGCGGTGAGCTGGGAACTATGATCCTCATCAGACACTTCTCTATTGTCCTCCATTCCAGATGCTCAACGAACACTTTGAGGTCATCAGTGTGAGCGCCGCCCTGCGCCTGCCCGAGCCCAAGGATGCGGAATACCGGGGTCATGCTGTGCGCCTGCTGGAGGCTCAGCGACACATGGCCGGCAACAGGACGGTGCCTCTGACGGGCGAGACGTTGGACTGCCTGTTGGGCAGTCTGCTGGACGTGGACATCAAACATTTGATCCGCAACGGTGGCAGTTGGCTGGACTTTGTGGATCTGTATGGCGCCATAACGGACAACCTGATGGTGTTGCTGAAACAGCACACCAACCTGATGTCAGATAGGGCCGCCCAGCTGAGTGCCCTGTGCCAGGATCTGGTCCAGGCCATTGTGGGCTATCGGGCGGAGCGCAAGCAAGCCCAGGATTTGAGTGAAACGGAGCTGGATGGTCTGGCCGATCTGGGCCTGAAACTGGCCACCGTAATGTCCACAGTGACGACCACCCAGTCGCTGGCCGTGAAGCGAGTGGCGCCCTTCCTCCTGATCTTCACCATTCGCCAGATGGTGGCCACCGAACGACCCACCACGTTGTTTGAAAAGGTTAGGCTTTCAAGATTATATATATTCTTTATTAAGATTACTTAGAACTACGGACTTATTCATATATTTCTTTGTTTGGCAGGTCAAAGTTCACATAGTTCGTGTGTGCCACGAGCTGATTGGGATCTGTGACCATCGTGCCGGGCACTTTATCCTGCGCTCCAGCAGCGAGGCCGGCGCCCGGATGTACGAGAGCCTGGTGAAGGATCACGAAAAGTATCACAAGTTTAGGGGAAAAGTTTAAGGATACTAAGGATAATGGTTCTTATACCTTGCCTTTCCCGATTTTAGACATAAATTTTTCTTTATTTTTCCAAATATATATATATATATATATCAGCGTTATATATATAAATTATGTGTGTTTTCTTGTTTAAGTTTATTCGTGTAAAGTCTAAGAAGTGAGAGTAGTAGTGGTGGTGATGGTTCTGGCTTTGGCTCTTTTCAGATATATATATATATAGAAAGATTGGCCTAATTTGTACTGATTCAGAACTTAAAATTTAACAGAGCGGATGGGGATAATGGATATAACTCGACTTCGACTCACTGGGAGGATTCCAAAAAAAAAAAAATAAAACTATGAAAAATAGGAATAATTCCTTCCTAGGCGAAGAACATCTGGCAGCGTTCGCAGAGCGGATCATCGGAATCATCAGGACGGTTGCCACTAAAGAAAATTAATTATATTAATTAACTAGTATGAGTATTAGTTAGTTGGAGTCACTTACAATAGAGTAACACAGCTGCGGCATATAAATTGGTAGCATTCGCCGCACGAATAGCCGCACTCCTCGCACAAGTCCATGGTACAATTGACACAGATGCCATGGATGAGGGTCTGGCGCTGGCAGCAGCGTGACTTTTTGCGCTCCAGGCGCGGATTAGCCATATCCGGACGCATATCGCGTACTATGATGGTGCCATCCCCCAACAACTGATATTGTTCGTGTAGAGTGGCGGAGGCAGTTGAGGATGCGGGTGCCATTTCTATAGTCTGATCCTGACCTTGCTGCTGTCCTTGTGCCGATCCTCCAGCTACCGTAAGGGTTAGACTCGGGGCCTGGGTACTACCATTTCCGGTTCCCATGTTGGCGGCAGCATCGAATAGCATTTTAGTAGTTTTTTCTGCGGGTGAAAGGCAACCGTAAATATTTTCACAAGACACACTTGGGAATGGAACACACGTGTAAAGCTCCAAAAGAAAAACTCACAATGTTAATGGAAATTATTAAAAAAAAACTCGAAATTTAAGCAAATAATACTAATATTAAATCGTTTTCTATTAAAGTTTTCCAGTTTCTTTGAAAGAATTCAGATATTTGATGTGTTTTTTTAGGAGATATCTTTGCTCCTGCGTGTTTCACTTGTTTTTGATTGTTCCAGCTCCTGACATCCAATGACATCTGTCATTTTGGTGGCCGGACGACAGCGCAAGTGTAACCCCACCCAGTCGGACAACCATTTTTCTCTCATTTAGTAGTGGTAATACTTATTAAATACAAAATAAGGTATCATTGCCCCCCGATTAAGTTCACCATGGACTCACCGTGTACCTCCTTCATCTTCGCCGGGTCGCGGGCATCGCTCATCTTCTGGCTTACCCAGACCTTGGTTTGGGTAACATTGTTGTTGGTATCGTCATCGGTCGGGGAACGCGAACGTTTTCCTGCCTTACGCTCCATTATCGGATTTAATTCTTTGGCTTCCTTCTGATCAGATTAAACCTGTATATTTGGCAAATTCTAACTAGCTAATATCTGATTGTTTCGCCGGCAACTATTTAGCTTTTTGCAGCACTTCTCTCTCTCTCTCTTACCTGTTGCCGGTGGCAGTGTGGCGAAGCGCGCGCTTTCTTCTTCTTTTCTACCGCTAGTGCAGTGCTGCAAGGTGGATGGGAGCAGCAGTGTTGGGCAACAAAAAATACGGATTATTAAATTTATAATTTTAAATCTAGAAAAAAAACGGTTAATATTCAAAAATCTAAAAGAGTGTATTTTACTCATCTTCTATTTGTCTATCTTTCTATCTTTATATTATTTACTCTATTTTTATTTTAATTCTAATCTCTCGTATATATTAAAATAAATAATAACTTTAATATATGTATTTTTTTATTGTTTGGGCTTAATCTTAAATCTTAATCTTAATCTTAAATACTTTACCGTTTTCACTTCCTGGTGGAAACTTTCCTGGTGTTTTTGAAACACTTACCAAAGTCTAATAAATAAAAACTAAAATTTTGAATATTCAATTCCGGTAAATATATTTTTGGTCTGTTTTCTATGAAATCAAAAGGAGATCTAAACTAAAGTTGAACTATCCAGAGGCTAACAATTCAGAATAAAAACTCATGGCTTACTTTTGTGCTCATATTTTATATTGATTTTATTGAAAATTGCTGCTTAAATAAATTGATTTAGATAAGGATGCAGAACCAGATAATCAGAAATCAGGAAATCGATCTAGAAATCGTTTAAGGTATTCCGTTTGAGAATCCGATGAGAATTAGCTGAGATAGGGATAGGACTCTGGGCCATATCTGAAAAACCCCATTTCGCAAGGGGTCTCCCCACGAAATTTGGAAAAAAATCTGAAAAATATTTTGTTGCAGGGTTTTGATGCAGATTAGTGGGAAATTGATCCAGAAATCGTTTAAGGTATTCCGTTTGAGAATCGGATAAGAATTGGCTGAGATATGGATATGACTTTGAACCACATCTGAAAAACCCCATTTCGCAAGGGGTCTCCCCACGAAATTTGGAAAAAATCTGAAAAATATTTTGTTGCAGGGTTTTGATGCAGATTGGTGGGAAATTGATCCAGAAATCGTTTAAGGTATTCCGTTTGAGAATCGGATGAGAATTGGCTGAGATATGGCTATGACTCTGAACCATATCTGAAAAACCCCATTTCGCAAGGGGTCTCCCTACGAAATTTGGAAAAAAATCTAAAAAATATTTTGTTGCAGGGTTTTAATGCAGATTGGTGGGGAATCGATCCAGAATTCGTTTAAGGTATTCCGTTTGAGAATCGGATGAGAATTGGCTGATATATGGCTATGACTCTGAACCATATCTGAAAAACCCCATTTCGCAAGGGGTCTCCCCAAGAAATTTGGAAAAAAATCTAAAAAATATTTTGTTGCAGGGTTTTAATGCAGATTGGTGGGGAATCGATCCAGAATTCGTTTAAGGTATTCCGTTTGAGAATCGGATGAGAATTGGCTGAGATATGGCTATGACTCTGAACCATATCTGAAAAACCCCATTTCGCAAAGGGGTCTCTCCACAAAATTTGGAAAAAAATCTGAAAAATATTTTGTTGCAGGGTTTTAATGCAGATTGGTGGGGAATCGATCCCGAATTCGTTTAAGGTATTCCTTTTGAGAATCGGATGAGAATTGGCTGAGATATGGCTATGACTCTGAACCATATCTGAAAAACCCCATTTCGCAAGGGGTCTCCCCACGAAATTTGGAAAAAAATCTAAAAAATATTTTGTTGCAGGATTTTGATGTAGATTGATTGGGGATCGATCCAGAAATAGTTTAAGGTATTCCGTTTGAGAATCGGATGAGAATTGGCTGAGATATGGCTATGACTCTGAACCATATCTGAAAAACCCCATTTCGCTAGGGGTCTCCCCACGAAATTTGGAAAAAAATCTAAAAAATATTTTGTTGCAGGGTTTTAATGCAGATTGGTGGGGAATCGATCCCGAATTCGTTTAAGGTATTCCTTTTGAGAATCGGATGAGAATTGGCTGAGATATGGCCATGACTCTGAACCATATCTGAAAAACCCCATTTCGCAAGGGGTCTCCCCACGAAATTTGGAAAAAAATCTAAAAAATATTTTGTTGCAGGATTTTAATGTAGATTGATTGGGGATCGATCCAGAATTCATTTAAGGTATTCCGTTTGAGAATCGGATGAGAATTGGCTGAGATATGGCTATGACTCTGGGCCATATCTGAAAAACCCCATTTCGCAAGGGGTCTCCCCACGAAATTTGGAAAAAAATCTGAAAAATATTTTGTTGCAGGGTTTTAATGCAGATTGGTGGGGAATCGATCCCGAATTCGTTTAAGGTATTCCTTTTGAGAATCGGATGAGAATTGGCTGAGATATGGCTATGACTCTGAACCATATCTGAAAAATCCCATTTCGCAAGGGGTCTCCCCACGAAATTTGGAAAAAAATCTAAAAAATATTTTGTTGCAGGGTTTTAATGCAGATTGGTGGGGAATCGATCCCGAATTCGTTTAAGGTATTCCTTTTGAGAATCGGATGAGAATTGGCTGAGATATGGCTATGACTCTGAACCATATCTGAAAAACCCCATTTCGCAAGGGGTCTGCCCACGAAATTTGGAAAAAAATCTGAGAAATATTTTGTTGCAGGATTTTGATGTAGATTGATTGGGGATCGATCCAGAAATAGTTTAAGGTATTCCGTTTGAGAATCGGATGAGAATTGGCTGAGATATGGCTATGACTCTGAACCATATCTGAAAAACCCCATTTCGCAAGAGGTCTCCCCACAAAATTTGGAAAAAAATCTGAAAAATATTTTGTTGCAGGGTTTTGATGCAGATTGGTGGGAAATTGATCCAGAATTCATTTAAGGTATGCCGTTTGAGAATCGGATGAGAATTGGCTGAGATATGGCTATGACTCTGAACCATATCTGAAAAACCCCATTTCGCAAGGGGTCTCCCCACGAAATTTGGAAAAAAATCTGAAAAATATTTTGTTGCAGGGTTTTAATGCAGATTGGTGGGAAATTGATCCAGAAATCGTTTAAGGTATTCCGTTTGAGAATCGGATGAGAATTGGCTGAGATATGGCTATGACTCTGAACCATATCTGAAAAACCCCATTTCGCAAGACCCCCACAAAATTTGGAAAAAAATCTGAAAAATATTTTGTTGCAGGGTTTTGATGCAGATTGGTGGGAAATTGATCCAGAAATAGTTTAAGGTATTCCGTTTGAGAATCGGATGAGAATTGGCTGAGATATGGCTATGACTCTGAACCATATCCAAGAGGTCAAGAGGACCAAGAGGTCTCCCCACAAAATTTGGAAAAAAATCTGAAAAATATTTTGTTGCAGGGTTTTGATGCAGATTGGTGGGAAATTGATCCAGAATTCATTTAAGGTATTCCGTTTGAGAATCGGATGAGAATTGGCTGAGATATGGCTATGACTCTGAACCATATCTGAAAAACCCCATTTCGCAAGGGGTCTCCCCACGAAATTTGGAAAAAAATCTGAAAAATATTTTGTTGCAGGGTTTTGATGCAGATTGGTGGGAAATTGATCCAGAATTCATTTAAGGTATTCCGTTTGAGAATCGGATGAGAATTGGCTGAGATATGGCCATGACTCTGAACCATATCTGAAAAACCCCATTTCGCAAGGGGTCTCCCCACGAAATTTGGAAAAAAATCTAAAAAATATTTTGTTGCAGGGTTTTAATGCAGATTGGTGGGGAATCGATCCCGAATTCGTTTAAGGTATTCCTTTTGAGAATCGGATGAGAATTGGCTGAGATATGGCCATGACTCTGAACCATATCTGAAAAACCCCATTTCGCAAGGGGTCTCCCCACGAAATTTGGAAAAAAATCTAAAAAATATTTTGTTGCAGGATTTTGATGTAGATTGATTGGGGATCGATCCAGAATTCATTTAAGGTATTCCGTTTGAGAATCGGATGAGAATTGGCTGAGATATGGCTATGACTCTGGGCCATATCTGAAAAACCCCATTTCGCAAGGGGTCTGCCCACGAAATTTGGAAAAAAATCTGAAAAATATTTTGTTGCAGGATTTTGATGTAGATTGATTGGGGATCGATCCAGAAATAGTTTAAGGTATTCCGTTTGAGAATCGGATGAGAATTGGCTGAGATATGGCTATGACTCTGAACCATATCTGAAAAACCCCATTTCGCAAGAGGTCTCCCCACAAAATTTGGAAAAAAATCTGAAAAATATTTTGTTGCAGGGTTTTGATGCAGATTGGTGGGAAATTGATCCAGAAATAGTTTAAGGTATTCCGTTTGAGAATCGGATGAGAATTGGCTGAGATATGGCTATGACTCTGAACCATATCTGAAAAACCCCATTTCGCAAGGGGTCTCCCCACGAAATTTGGAAAAAATCTGAAAAATATTTTGTTGCAGGGTTTTAATGCAGATTGGTGGGAAATTGATCCAGAAATCGTTTAAGGTATTCCGTTTGAGAATCGGATGAGAATTGGCTGAGATATGGCTATGACTCTGAACCATATCTGAAAAACCCCATTTCGCAAGAGGTCTCCCCACAAAATTTGGAAAAAAATCTGAAAAATATTTTGTTGCAGGGTTTTGATGCAGATTGGTGGGAAATTGATCCAGAAATAGTTTAAGGTATTCCGTTTGAGAATCGGATGAGAATTGGCTGAGATATGGCTATGACTCTGAACCATATCTGAAAAACCCCATTTCGCAAGAGGTCTCCCCACAAAATTTGGAAAAAAATCTGAAAAATATTTTGTTGCAGGGTTTTGATGCAGATTGGTGGGAAATTGATCCAGAATTCATTTAAGGTATTCCGTTTGAGAATCGGATGAGAATTGGCTGAGATATGGCTATGACTCTGAACCATATCTGAAAAACCCCATTTCGCAAGGGGTCTGCCCACGAAATTTGGAAAAAAATCTGAAAAATATTTTGTTGCAGGATTTTGATGTAGATTGATTGGGGATCGATCCAGAAATAGTTTAAGGTATTCCGTTTGAGAATCGGATGAGAATTGGCTGAGATATGGCTATGACTCTGAACCATATCTGAAAAACCCCATTTCGCAAGAGGTCTCCCCACAAAATTTGGAAAAAAATCTGAAAAATATTTTGTTGCAGGGTTTTGATGCAGATTGGTGGGAAATTGATCCAGAAATCGTTTAAGGTATTCCGTTTGAGAATCGGATGAGAATTGGCTGAGATATGGCTATGACTCTGAACCATATCTGAAAAACCCCATTTCGCAAGGGGTCTGCCCACGAAATTTGGAAAAAAATCTGAAAAATATTTTGTTGCAGGATTTTGATGTAGATTGATTGGGGATCGATCCAGAAATAGTTTAAGGTATTCCGTTTGAGAATCGGATGAGAATTGGCTGAGATATGGCTATGACTCTGAACCATATCTGAAAAACCACATTTCGCAAGGGGTCTGCCCACGAAATTTGGAAAAAATCTGAAAAATATTTTGTTGCAGGATTTTGATGTAGATTGATTGGGGATCGATCCAGAAATAGTTTAAGGTATTCCGTTTGAGAATCGGATGAGAATTGGCTGAGATATGGCTATGACTCTGAACCATATCTGAAAAACCCCATTTCGCAAGGGGTCTCCCCACGAAATTTGGAAAAAAATCTGAAAAATATTTTGTTGCAGGGTTTTAATGCAGATTGGTGGGAAATTGATCCAGAAATCGTTTAAGGTATTCCGTTTGAGAATCGGATGAGAATTGGCTGAGATATGGCTATGACTCTGAACCATATCTGAAAAACCCCATTTCGCAAGGGGTCTGCCCACGAAATTTGGAAAAAAATCTGAAAAATATTTTGTTGCAGGATTTTGATGTAGATTGATTGGGGATCGATCCAGAAATAGTTTAAGGTATTCCGTTTGAGAATCGGATGAGAATTGGCTGAGATATGGCTATGACTCTGAACCATATCTGAAAAACCCCATTTCGTAAGAGGTCTCCCCACAAAATTTGGAAAAAAATCTGAAAAATATTTTGTTGCAGGGTTTTGATGCAGATTGGTGGGAAATTGATCCAGAATTCATTTAAGGTATTCCGTTTGAGAATCGGATGAGAATTGGCTGAGATATGGCCATGACTCTGAACCATATCTGAAAAACCCCATTTCGCAAGGGGTCTCCCCACGAAATTTGGAAAAAAATCTAAAAAATATTTTGTTGCAGGGTTTTAATGCAGATTGGTGGGGAATCGATCCCGAATTCGTTTAAGGTATTCCTTTTGAGAATCGGATGAGAATTGGCTGAGATATGGCTATGACTCTGAACCATATCTGAAAAACCCCATTTCGCAAGGGGTCTTCCCACGAAATTTGGAAAAAAATCTGAAAAATATTTTGTTGCAGGGTTTTGATGCAGATTGGTGGGAAATTGATCCAGAAATCGTTTAAGGTATTCCGTTTGAGAATCGGATGAGAATTGGCTGAGATATGGCTATGACTCTGGGCCATATCTGAAAAACCCCATTTCGCAAGGGGTCTCCCCACGAAATTTGGAAAAAAATCTGAAAAATATTTTGTTGCAGGGTTTTAATGCAGATTGGTGGGGAATCGATCCCGAATTCGTTTAAGGTATTCCTTTTGAGAATCGGATGAGAATTGGCTGAGATATGGCTATGACTCTGGGCCATATCTGAAAAACCCCATTTCGCAAGGGGTCTCCCCACGAAATTTGGAAAAAAATCTGAAAAATATTTTGTTGCAGGGTTTTGATGCAGATTGGTGGGAAATCGATCTAGAAATCGTTTAAGGTATTCCGTTTGAGAATCCGATGAGAATTAGCTGAGATATGGATATGACTCTGAGCCATATCTGAAAAACCCCATTTCGCAAGGGGTCTCCCCACGAAATTTGGAAAAAAATCTGAAAAATATTTTGTTGCAGGGTTTTGATGCAGATTAGTGGGAAATTGATCCAGAAATCGTTTAAGGTATTCCGTTTGAGAATCGGATAAGAATTGGCTGAGATATGGATATGACTCTGAACCAAATCTGAAAAACCCCATTTCGCAAGGGGTCTTCCCACGAAATTTGGAAAAAAATCTTTAAAATATTTTGTTGCACGGTTTTAATGCAGATTGGTGGGGAATCGATCCAGAATTCGTTTCAGGTATTCCGTTTGAGAATCGGATGAGAATTGGCTGAGATATGCAGACATATGAAAAAAAGTCCCTTTTTCTACTTCTATATCCTTCTGTATAAAGACTAAAATTTTTACATGATTGTATTTATTTCCGTTTTGCTAATACATCTCGGTATGATGCCTGGGACGTCTGGGATTACTTTTTGCGGGAGCTGCGTGACTTCCTTTGGTAGCCCCCGACACTGGCAGCCACGTTGGCGTCTGCTGACGGGGAGGTGCGCTTCATAGAAGTCTTGGAACCGGCGGCCAAGGCGGCGGCGGCGGCTTCCTTGGCGGCCAGACGGCGTTCGGCGGCCGCCTCGCGCTCCTTGCGGACCACAGCCAGGCGGGCCAGGTCCGCCTCGGCCTCGCTGCTTTTCAGCAACTTATGGGTAAGGAGACGCTCGCGCTTCTTCACGCGGCTATTAATAGTGGCCTTATCCTCGGTCTCGGACAAGCGATTCGGATTGGAAATCTTAAAAAGGCTATGGACGCCGCAGGCGCCCTTGGAGCGAGGAAACTCGTCCTCCGAGTCGGGCTCCGAAGACGAGGAATTCTTCCCGTTCGGCGGGTAACTCTCCATTAGGCTCAAGAGGACACTACGGTCGCATCCACTGCTTTCGAGCTCCTCCTTCAATTCGTCAGTCGGAGTGAACTGGCGGTTGCGTCCCTTGCGGTTACCATATCTTCCACGGGGCATGATCTTAAGTCTTGATAGCTGAGATAAACCTCAAAAAAAAAAAAAATTATTTATTTTGAGCTTCAAACGATGAAAAAAAAAACAAAATTTTGTTTGGAGCACCGTTAAGGTCGACAAACAACTGAGAATTGAATGATTGTTTTGGGATACAACAGCTCCTTGAATAAAATGAAATTTAACTTAAGAGTCAAAGGTTATGTGAGAGCTGGAAAAAGAGTTGGGGATTTATTATGAAAATAATTTCATTTTCTTGGGCCACAAGAAGGCAGTTCTGCCAGTCTTTAAAAAAATCTTTAAAGCAAAAGTATATAAATATTTAAGTTAATAAAACCTTAAGAAAAGGCCCAAAGTCCCAAATAAATCAAAAGAAAGAAGTTGAAATCTTTAGAAAATGGTAAGAACGACTTTAAAAACGAAATAAAAAATACACCTTTATTTATTTTCAAATTATGAATAAGTTTTTAAAGCCTCCAATGCCTGAAAAATCCTAAAAAAGGATACGAAGATTAGGAAAAATGTATTTTTCTTCGATAAAGAACTTATTTTTCTTCGATAAATTTTGAGATAAAATGAAACACAAGTTCTAGTTATTGGTTTTTTTTTCCAAACAAGTATTCTGTGGTTTGAGTGTCCCACTAAGATTTTAAAGTTCTTTCAGTCGCTAAGGCACTTTTAAGACCAAAGGAACGTAGCTCTGAAAAACTATCAAAAATAATAAATATAGATCGGAATTAAAATCAACGCGAAAAGTTCTTTATTCTTGTTGTTGAAAAAAGTTTGAATATGGTAAAAATAGTCATCAATAAAAATTTGCTAACCAAATCGATGGAAGGAAATAAGTAAGATTTATAAATTATAATATCGAATATAATTAACAACCTAACCTTAAGAGTAAAATTATCCATAAAACTGAAATTGACGCGAAGAAAGGTGAGTATGCAATTTCTTAAGCTTATTTAAGTTTAAATGAAAATATTCCTAAAAAAAAATAGTATTAAATGTATTAAAAAAATTATCTTTCGCAGCGTATTGCTCCTAAATTAATCGAAAGGAAGACATTAATCATAATGATAAGATTAGGACAACATGGAATCAGAGAATTGGAAAAAAATAAAACGTATACAATTCGTAGGAAGATTAAAAGTAATATTTATAAATTATAATTAAGACCGTATAATAATTAAACATTCGCAGCATTATTCTTTAATGAATAACTCACCAGAAAATTGAAAGCCATAATGATAAGATTAAGAAGACACACAGTGAGTATGCAGTTTCCCAAGTTTATTTTAGTTTAAATGAAAATATTCCACATCTTTCTAGGATTTTCCATAACTTCATAAATGAGAAAATCATTAAGAAAAAAAATATATTCAACGCAAAAAAAAAGCAAGATACAAAGTAATATTTTTAGTTTTTAACTAAAAATCGTAATAACAATTTAACATTCACAGTATTCACATTCCTTCAGAAAAAGGAAAAAATGAAACATAATGTTAGTATTAAGAAATCACACGGTGATTATGAAGTTTATTAAGTTTATTTTAGTTTAAATGATAATATTCCTAAAAAAATAATTCAAATATGTATTTATCTTTCGCAGCTTTACACTCATCAAAGACACAAAGAAAGGAAAAAAAACCATAATGTTAAAATGAAGAAAACATACATCTCAAGTGGGTAAGTAATTTTTAAAATTTAGAGAAAGAATAAAATTTAGAATTAAAATAGTTTCCTTATAGGATAATGACATTTTCGGCCGGAAGCTTTGACCGTTAACGATATTGGAATGTTATTGCACAGAAATAAAACATAAACATTTCAACACTATAAACTATAATATGACTTAATTACATTATGTACATTACAATAATTAATAAATAAGATTATGTTTCATTTGAAAAAATAAAAAAAATTTCAATTTTTCCTTAGTGTTGTGGGGGGTATGCACTTATTTTCCTATTCAGCTGTTGTTATCGATAGTCCGAGTGTTGGACAACGTGTGTGATGATAGGGTTGCCAGGCATATTGCTGAGAGTTTCAGAGTTGGATTTTTTTGTGGGCAATCTTGACTTGTTTTTTTTTTTGTTTTTCGGACACCTTCGAGGCCGTGTACACACAAAGAAAAAACATGAAACTGCCAGCGGCCAGCTGCTGATGCGAGAGAAACCACACAGCAAGCGAGAAAAGCCAGGCGAAAAATGGTAAGTGCGCCGCCCACTTTGGGGTTCGCTGCCTCTGCTGCTGCTGCTGATTCAGAGTTGGGGTGCTCTCTTTACTAATCTCGGGTTTGTTCACTTTCACCCCTTGCCCCCCCTTGTCGGCTGATAGCACGCCGCATCCATGACGACGGTGGAGGTCCTGCTGCAGGAGTTCTACCAGCCGAGCACCTCGAATGCCAGGAAGCGTGAGATTGAAACGAACCTGCTGGCCTTCAAGTCGCAGCCGGAGGCGTGGCAATTGTGCCTTCGGGTGGCAACAGCGTCTGAAGGTACCGAGAATCAATTCCTATGGTTCTTCAGCACCTCAACGCTGGAGCACACCATTACACGGCGATGGACGCAGCTGACGCCGGAAGACAAGACCCTGCTGAGGGAGGCCCTATGGAATACATACGCCCAATTGGGTGCCACCCCAGCCAAACGGCACAGGGACACACTCGCACAACTGATAGCTCTAATGGGGAAGAGAGAGTTCCCGGAACAGGATCCCAACTACATGCAGCACTGCATGGAGCTAACAAAGACACGGTTCCAGCTGGGCATAAACCTATTGAAAGTCACCTCCGAGGAGGTGGTGAGCAATCGCGGAGACTTGACCACCGAATGGAAGCAGTATTTCTACTCCTGGTGGGTTATACTCCCCTATCCCGTAGGGACATCCTTTTTGTTTGTGAATAACATTCATATATGTATTCTTATGTGGCTTATTCGTGTTCTGTGTCTCGAAATAGCATCTCCATGTGTATACCCGATGTCATGGATTTGGTAACCACGTATCTATTAATCGCTGTGTGCCATATTAATGGCAAAGACATTCAAACGACCATACCAAACACCCTCATGGACTTTAGTCTAACCTCAGCGCTGCCAAATGACAATCAACTAAGGTAGGTGATCGATTGGAGGCTTTATAGGTCTATTAATTACCTCTTAACCTTAACCTCATCCTCTTCTACATTTCAAGTTCCTCTATTTTGGAGCTGCTCGGCTGTGTGCAGCACTTGGTCTCCTGGATACGCACTGAACTGATCTCGGAGTACTTCCTTATGAGCATACTCGACCTATCCCAGTGGCGACCCAACCACGAACCCATCTCCCTGGCCGCCCTATCGGTCCTCAATGAGCTGCTCTATCTGCAGAAACCGCTTCCCTATGCCGGCACCCTCATGGGCGGTGTCAGTAGCCTTCTGGAGCAGCACAATAGCAATCGTCGCCAGAGCGATATGTATGGCGATAAGTTCCGGGAATTATTGCGACTCTATTCCACGAAATATGCCGGTAAACTGATGCAGGAGCCCGATGTCTTGGAGACTTTTCTCAATCTTCTATATTCCTGTACCACAGAATGTAGGAATGTTACTTTATTCGTATTACTATTTTATTAATGGCTTCTCTTGGTTAGTACATGGGGCCTTGGACTTTACGGAGAAACTGGAAATATGGACACCGATCATCAAGAACATTGCACACCACCCCGCCAAGATAACGCGCTTCAACCATGTGCTCACCCAGCTGGTGGACGAGATCATGCGACGCACACAGTTCGAGGCCAACAAGCCGGAGCTGGAGGTGCTCGACAACGAGCTCATGGAGGACGATGTGAGTCTCTGTTATGGATACATAGGGGCTCAGATAATGACCCTTTTTTCTTTATAAGAATTAGTCAGGAATATCTTGTAAGAGAACAGGGCATATTATTTTTCCAATTCCGATAAGAGATTCGATCTAACTAGTTTCCAAAAGTTTCCAATTAGACTAAACTCCCATTTATAATCTCCTCCAGACCTCCGCCACCGAATGGCAGCAGTTCCTGGACCAATGCTTCGAGACCCTGGCTCTCCTGGCCAATACTCGCGGCCCCCACGTCGTCTTCGCACAAGTCTACGCCCATTGGTCGCGGCCACAGATGTATCTGTTGTCCCTGGAGCATGCCCTCGAGCATGGCAGTAATCGCACCTACGAGGCAGCCCGGAAACTCAAGGGCGCCAATGTGGGAGAGATACTGCGCGATTTTGCCACCGTCTGCCAGGCAGTGGTGCGTCTAGCTCCCTTGATGGACACCTCCACGGCCTCCACGCCGGCTGTGGCCGATGAGATGGAATCCCAGCTGAGGTTGCTGTCGGAGAGCCTGCTCCAAACACTGCAGCTCCTGGCCAGCAATCGGCTCGGCAACGGCACCAACGAAATGGATAAGGCCTCCTTCCAGACTGATATGGATAACCTGTAAGTGAAGGATTTGGTTTTTCTAAAGAATTTTAAAGCTAATTGGAGTCCTTTGCAGCTACGCTCAAGTCCTGCTGGCCATACGCAGCATCTTTCCGCTGTCCAAGGCCATGGGCAGTGACGAGCTTCTCCATCGGATGTTTGCCATTCTGGGCAGCATCTTTGCCTGCAACGGCTCCCTGTCGGCGGCCTCGCCCATCGTCCAGCAGGCAGCCAGCGAGCTGCTGCTCTTCATCTCGACTGTGATACGGCCCAAGTGCCTGCTGGAGATCCCCCAGATCCAGAGCCTCCTGCAGGCCGGCTCTCGCCTGGGCGCCCAACTGCCCCGACAGGTGTGCATCAACGTCCATATCAGTCTGGTTAGCTACATGGTTCTGCCCTGGAAGTGCGTGCCCGAACAGCAGCAGGACTACCAGCGCCGGCAGTGGATGCTGCGCGAGTATATCCAAGGATTGGCCCAGAATTTCCTCGATCTCGATCTCGGCCAGGCCAACGAGAGCAAGGTGGCGGCCACAACGCTTAGTCTTCTCGGCACCTTTACGGCTTTAATAGAGTACTTCAAGGCCACCGGCGGCAATGCCAAGGACATGCTGGCCAGCACATTCAAGCCCATCCTGACCAAGGCGTTGATGATCTTCAATAGCTTCGGCCTGAGCAGCATTGCCATGGCCATTACAGTGGCCGAGTTCAGTCTGAGCATGCTCCGAACACTGCCCACCCATTTAGGTGGCCAGTTCATCAAGGAGATGGTGACTTTGTTCATCAATGTCAGCAGCAGGTACGACTTGGATTTCTTCCCCTCTCTTTCTAATTGGTGGACTGTTTGTAACTTCATCGCTTTCCGTTTCAGGGAACAATTGACACTCAGCCGCCTGGCTGTAATGGAGAAAATCCTGCAGATGTTCAAGCTGATTGTGGAGCAACCGGGCAGTGCTTCTCTGGGTCTGCTGCCCTCCATTCTGGACTTTAGCACCCAGCAGATACTGCCGTTGTTGCAACAACAAAACGCTGCCACGGACAGTAGCGAGATAACTAGTCTGTTGTATGCTTTGTTCGATAGGTGGGTGTTTACTTCCAATGGCCAGAGCTTCTTATTTATAATTTACTTTTGATTTTTAGTGTCCTGACCTGCAAGTGGCAGTTCTTCTACAAGAATCAACTTTCCAACGGGCACACAGGCGGCTCTGGTTCTGGCAGTGGCAATTTCAACTGCAGCGACAACCTGCATCCGGCCCACTTCATGGCCATTCTGAATGCCTATGGCCAGATGCTGGTGAGCGGCACAGATCCCAGCAATGTGCGCAGCGTCCTCTTCTCCATGCAGAACGTGAACGAACGGAGTCGTCTGTACCAGCGCGCCCTGTTCAAGGAGCAGTTGCTGGCCTCCTTCCAGCGGGCTTTGCTCAACCTCCTGCTCAGTGGCGAGGGCGCCCTCCATTTCGACATGATCGCCCAGTCCCTGTACGCCATGGGCCAGGTGGACAGGCGACAGCTGCTTGAGAGCTTTGCTCAGGCTTCGCTGCCAGTGGCACAGACGGCGCTGGAGGAGATCTGCCAGACAAGTGTTAGTTTTTTTTAATCCTCTATTTTGTATAATTTTTAATTAATTTTTAAAATTTTTTTGCAGGACATTCCAACGTTTACGCAGAAACTTACACAGCTCATGCAGGACGCCCACTGTGTGCATCTTAATGAGACGTCGTAGGCGAGATATATCGCCTCATACATAACCACCCCATTAATCCTCCCAGTATCCTCTAAACTTTATTATTTTTTGTTTGCTTTTTTAATTTCTATTTTTTTTGTTTGTTTTGTGCTCCTAATTGTAATTGTATTTGTGCTTCTACTTGTATGCCATATTTTCGAGTGTCATTATTGCTCACGTCCCCCACTGCCTCTTATAATTTTATGTTTTTTTTATTCATTTTTTAAAAAAATCCAAATCCAAGCGTTTTGTTCCTTTTTCCCAAAAAAAAAATTTCGAGTCATTTGCGTGCCTGTGTCCAAACAGAATTCATTCAATTTATAAAAGACATTGTTAGATTAAGAAGAAATTCAAAAAAAAAAGATTAATTTTAAAGAAAAAAACAAAAATGCATGTGACACATTTATTGTGTAATTAAAAAAAAATATATATATCTATAAACATTATTATTTTTACGTTTATCACGCATACTTTATATTTTTGTGCTGTCCGTCGCCGCAAATCGATGAAAAGTCATACTTGTATCTTAGTAGCATATATACATAAATTAATTAATTAATTAGCATATATCAATATGTAAATCAATTACGTCATAAGCCGGGGGTCCAGCAACACATTCATGTAATTTATTCTAAAAAAAAAAAAAAAACAACAAAAACACCCAACACACACACACACCCCAACCGATTGTAATTTGATTTTCTAATGATTTTCGTTTTGTAAGTCCGACCTTTCAATCAAAAATTCAATAAAAACTATTTTTACCATTTTAATTAGTAATTACTTTCATTGAGAGGTTAATGGAAAGATTTTAAAAAGTTTTTAAAGTTTGGAAAATGTTTCAAAAGTTTCCAAAGGATATATACATATGTACATCTATCAGGGGTTTAGTTCAAGCACTAACCATGCTGTATAGTTATTGGTTTAAGTTTAAAACAATTACTATGCTTTTTTCGATATGTTTTCGAAAGTTATAAGGCAGTTTTTTAAATGTTTCTATTTACTTTGTTTTTAATCCATAAAAGCGATATTCAATATTAAAAAATGACCTATTAAGGTAATGTTTTGAAGGTTTAGGTCTAAAGGTTTTTAAAGGTTTTTTAAAAATATTTTTGAACGCTTTTTTAAAGTCCTTCAAATGGATTCAAGTTGGTATTGAATTTTTAAAACTTTTAAACCCTTTACGGTTTTTTGTATTATGATTAATAATATAGATACATATATCCATCTGATTCTAAGGAAGGTGAATGGTAAAGTTTTGAAATGGTTTGAAAAACAAGTACATTGAAAAGTAATATCTAGCAGTATTTAAGGTAAAGTTTTAAAAGTTTCGAAAGCACTTTTAAATACTTTTGAAGTATTTTTTGAAAGAAACTTTTAAACTCATCGTCCAGTCCTTTATTTTATCAATGATTTTATTCCTTTTTTTTTAATCAATGAAGAAAGATATATATGGTATGTACATAGGAACACGCTCTGCACGCGCTTTCCAAGAAAAATATAATAACAAGGATAATAAGGCCCCGAAAAGGATCACTTTAAACAACAATCAAGGATAGAGGCATGCCAAGGATCATAAAAGCGACAGCATCCTTTCTATTGTCTACATTTTTATTCATTTTTATTTTTTTTTGCAAAATTTATTTTCCCTTTTTAATGAAATTTGCATTTTTAGCCAAGTTCTCTCAGGTGTCTCACAAAAGGACACAAAAGGACAAAAGCCGAAAACCGAAATTGAATTTAATGAAAAGCGAAAGCAGAAGTACATACGATATATGGAGGAGATCACCCACTTCCGTTTTGCGGGTCAGGTACATATAAAATATACCTGCACAGGTAGTTGACTGTTTTGCATACCCCTCCACCCCTCCCCTCTTCGCTCTCTGAGATCCTTTACACAGATCCTTTGGCATCCTGTGCACTTCCGCAGGAAGCGAAAGGACGAGGTAGACAATGGTAGAGGGGAGCGAATTCACTTTTCATTTTAAATCGCGTGTGTCTCGAGATTTAGTTTTTGGGGAAAGGATTTATATATATTTTTAGGTATTATAATATTTAGCCTTAAATTTTTTAGCTATGTATTATTCATATATTATTAAAAGTTCGAATATAGTATGTAGAAAATAAAAACAAAACTTCTAAGGGCCATTTCTTTTTCAAAGGCGTGTCACATAATGGGAATGGTTAAAGTTCTTCAAATATGTATTTTACTATTAAATAATGATCCTAAGCTTAAAATAAAATAAATATTTGTGTATGTTTATGTATTTTTACTTTAAAATATAATTTATATATTTTTTAACTTACAAGGTACTTAGCTCTAGCTCTAGAGGCTTCTTTGTTATAGGGATTTAATGTAAAAAATTGAAATAAATAATGTTTGAGTATGTATATAAAAAAAATGTTTAAGTATTATCTGTTATCATGACTTTTGTTTTTTTAATTTAGAAACTTTTAATAAGCAGTCTTTAGTTGCTAATGGAAATAAAATCAAAAACAAGAAACAAAATAAATAAAAATTCCATTTAAAAATAAACTAAAAATGTCCATGAATAATTGTTTTTTTCTTTTTGCACTTGAACAATTAATTTGTTTTTGTTTTTTTTTTTAAGGAAAAGGATTTATACAACCCAGTTTTTAAATAAAAAGAATAAAAAGAACCGAAATGACGCAGTGCAGCAAATGAATCCAAAGGGCAGGTGGGTACGTGACTTGGATTTGGATTTCGATTTGGTTTGCAAATTCTGGTCTGAGGAGAGCTGGAATGGAAATGGGAAATGGACACAGTATGGAGCATAGGAATACACTTGACTTTGGGCGCTGATCCCAGAGACTTGGACCCTGGCACGCTATATAATAGTGCCGTTGGCAGAGTGGAAGCCACAGTTGAGCGCTGACGGTTAGTAGCGACAGTGCCATCTAAAGCCGAGGATTATAGCTGGTAGCTGGACAGGATTAGCTGGAAACGAAGGAGGTTGAACCGAGAGAATTATCAAGATGACTGTGGAGGCTGCGGCGACATCAACATCCCTGTTGGGATACAGTCCCACGTTGACCACTCTGGTGGCCACATTGGTGGCTTTGGGATTGTACGAGTACTATCGCCGGAATACGCGGGAATACCGGATGGTGGCCAACATCCCATCCCCGCCAGAACTACCGCTTCTCGGACAGGCCCATTTGGCCGCCGGACTGAGCAATGCGGAGATCATGAACGTCGGATTGGGCTACCTGAGCAAGTACGGAGAGACTCTGAAGGCTTGGCTGGGCAGCGTACTGCTGGTCTTCATCACGAATCCCAACGACATCGAACTGATCCTCAGCGGACACCAGCACCTGACCAAGGCCGAGGAGTACCGGTACTTCAAGCCCTGGTTCGGCGATGGGCTCCTGATCAGTAATGGCCACCACTGGCGTCATCATCGCAAGATGATCGCCCCGACCTTCCATCAGAGCATCCTCAAGAGCTTCGTGCCCACGTTCGTTAACCATTCCAAGGCTGTGGTGGATCGCATGGGTCTGGAGGCCGGCAAGTCCTTTGACGTCCACGACTACATGTCCCAGACCACCGTCGACATCCTACTGTCTACCGCGATGGGTGTGAAGAAGCTGCCGGAAGGCAACAAGAGCTTCGAGTACGCCCAGGCTGTGGTCGACATGTGCGACATCATCCACAAGCGCCAGATCAAGCTCCTGTACCGTCTGGACTCCATCTACAAGTTCACCAAGCTGCGCGAGAAGGGCGACCGCATGATGAACATCATCCTGGGCATGACCAGCAAGGTGGTGAAGGATCGCAAGGAGAACTACCAGGAGGAGAACCGGGCCATCGTTGAGGAGATCACCACCCCCACCCCGGCCACTCCGGCAACCAAGAAGGAGGGCCTGCGCGACGATCTGGACGACATCGATGAGAACGATGTGGGTGCCAAGAGACGTCTGGCGCTCCTCGACGCCATGGTGGAAATGGCCAAGAACCCGGACATCGAGTGGAACGAGAAGGACATCATCGACGAAGTCAACACCATTATGTTTGAGGGTCACGACACCACCTCCGCCGGCTCCAGCTTCGCCCTCTGCATGATGGGCATCCACAAGGACATCCAAGAGAAGGTATTCGCCGAGCAGAAGGCCATCTTCGGTGACAACATGCTGCGGGACTGCACCTTCGCCGACACCATGGAAATGAAGTACCTAGAGCGCGTCATCCTCGAGACTCTCCGTTTGTATCCTCCAGTACCCTTGATTGCCCGCCGCGTGGACTACGATCTGAAGCTGGCCAGTGGTCCGTATACCGTACCCAAAGGCACCACTGTCATCGTTCTGCAGTACTGCGTTCATCGTCGTCCCGACATCTATCCCAATCCCACCAAGTTCGATCCGGACAACTTCCTGCCCGAGAGGATGGCCAACAGGCACTACTACGCCTTCATTCCGTTCAGTGCCGGTCCCAGGAGCTGTGTCGGACGCAAGTACGCCATGCTGAAGCTCAAGGTCCTGCTGTCCACCATTGTCAGGAACTATATTGTCCATTCCACCGACACCGAGGCGGACTTCAAGCTCCAGGCTGACATCATCCTGAAGCTGGAGAACGGTTTCAATATCTCGCTGGAGAAGCGTCAGTATCCTGCCACTGCTACTGCTTAAACGAAGAAAAGAAAAGGATATATATGCCCAAGGATGCCCAACGGATGCCCAAAGGATGCCCATGGATGCCCTGTATATAGATGATCCCCCTCGACACTGATCCGATGACGACCCCCTCCACAAAAAAAAAAAATACAAAGAATCAATCAATTAGTGAAAAATCCTTCAAAAACCCAGCCACAGAGAGTCAACTGAATGTCATTTTATTATTTTCTTCTAACCATCTATGCTAACCTCTATTACTTTTTTCCTTTTTCCACTTTATTGTTGGTCTTTAGCGGGTGGTGACCCCTATTATATCCCTAATCTATGCAACTGTTTGTGCTCTATACTATCTTCTTATTTTTTTTTTTTTGCCTAGACATGTAGTGTGATTTTTTTTCTAGTATTTATTAAGTCTCATGGTTTGAATGAAACCCAAAAAATATGAAAAATATATGCGTACGATCGAGCAAGCAGACAATTGAGCTGCAAAAATTATATAACAAGTCTTTCGTTTTAATATTATTTGAAAAATTATTATTTGCAGAAAGTTGGTCCACAAACTCTGGCTCAGAAATGTCAAAATATTTATCCCAACAAGGCCCTGTTCTTGTCCTTGGTTGTTGAGTATTTTTTATTCGATTGCCTTTTGGCAATAAATTTGTTAGCATTATTATGATCCTTGCCTTTCGCCTTAAGTCGCCTTTAAGTCGACACCTCATTTCGGTGCAGCGATTTGTAATGCTCGCATTAATCGCATCCGAGATGCTGACAAATGCAAATGCTATTGTCATCAAATCGATAGCAGTTTATCGCTGAGATACGCAAAAAAAATATTAAAAATTCAATTTTCGAAAAAAAAGGCTTAAAAGGCTTATACAAGCCTTCTTGTGGAATATACAGCTATATGCAATACAGTTTATAAACTATATTGGTTATCTGTAGTATAGTTTATCTATAATTTATTAGTTCAATCCTTCAAATCTTAAAACATATATATACAAGAATATAGGTGTGTAGCCAATTTATTGAAAAAGTTTATAATTTGTTATTTTATTTAAAAGTATATGTACATTACCAAATAACTATCCAAGTACGCATGGTAAGCACCCGGGTCTTAAGTAGTTTTTTATTTCCCCTTTTTTATAAGTCGGCTTTCACTTTTTGCTTCATTTTACATTTTTTTAGCAATTTTCCGTTTGATTTTCGTTCGATTAACGAGCATCGGATTACGAAACTCAAAACGGAAATCCTTTCGGTTTCTTCCGCTTTTCCTTTTTCCCTTTCCCCCCCTTCTTTTTGTATTTTCGCCGGGTTTTTCACAGTTGCCAAACACGATTAATGGTATGAACCCCTTCGGCGAAGCAAAAAGGACATGCAGCAGGTCCTTGCAGCACACACAGGCACCCAACCGATGCACATCGATTCTGTTTGGTCATTGTCCTTTTTTGCGTTTGGCAAATAGCGGCGTTTTTTTTTTTTAACAATCCTACCTGATCTAATCGAAAATCGAGGATCTGTAATCCAATCCTGGACATTCGATTCCGGATGTTTGTGTACATTCTGGCAGCGTGACATTCGAGGTCCTTTGATGACCGCCGTTCACCATAGTATCCGTCGCCGGAATTTCTAATTACAACCGCATCTCCCACTAATCCTCCATAAAATTGATGTTTTTAGTGGTTTTTGTCCTTTTATTTTGGCATGTGCTGGAAGGAAGAAAGTCCTTGTTAAATAACGACATGCTTTTAAGGGAAAAGGATGTAGGATTAGAAAAAGGTTAGTTGCTAACTGGCTCTAGAAGCTCTTAAAAAAATAGCCTTTTTGTTATTATCCTTGGGAAATCCTTACAATAAAGTCCTTGCAATGATTATACTATTTCCGGGTTGTCTTCGTGTGGCCTGATTTTTCAAGAGAGAGTCCTTTCTTTCTGGCCAAGACCTCACACTTGGCCAGCTTCAGAGGAAACGAGAGCTCGGGGAATTAGCGGACAGCAGAGAACAAGGACCAAATAGAACCAAAAAGGACATCTCAATCAATGCAAAATGCTTCCTGGAGTGTCGAGGTCCTTCGACTGTCAAAATTTGTGTGTTGTCATACAAAAATCGATCGACTTCAACCTGATGACTCAATACAGTTTCTCTTTTAATGAATACTATGTCCTGAATAGTATATCCTGAATAGTCCCCATTATTGAATAGTGAGTCCTGTGTGGCCACCCTGGGCGCATTAGTCAAAATACAAGGAGACACACGTGGGGACACACGGTCCCAAATGAAAATGTCCTGGAACTGTCTTCTGGAAACTGAACCGAACAACATGTGCTGCCAGTCCTGGGGAGCTCTGTTCTGGAATTCAGGACACAAAGGAATAAAACAAAACTGGAACAGATACTAACATATTAAATTAGAACTCTGGGGGAAACACATGCTGTCCTTATGACTTTCATTTATTTTACACTTGGGAAAAAGAGAGGTTTTTATAAACTGATTTTTAAAACTAATAAAGGATTATCTAAGGATATAAGGATAAGTGTTTAAAAACTATAGATCGTTATAGAACAAAATATTGAAAAACCCGCTTCTTCGAAAAGGTTTTTGAAAAGTTCATAAAAGAAACCTCCTCTCTTTACATTTTATTCCTAGATGAATAAACCTATACCCCATTTTTTCGAGTGCACTATTGCCCGCAATATGGTAGCAGAACGCGACTTGTGAATGAAATTAACTCGGATCTGTCAGATGTATCCATACGCCGGATCATCTCCCATCTGAAGTGGAAATCGGGGAGATCGGGAAATCGAAAAATCGGGAAAAACAATGGGAAAGTAAGGAAAAGAATTGTGGGCGGGGGGCTTAGGTGAACCGCAGGAGGTGCTGTGAAGTGTTAACCTGCTTTTTTTTTGTTTCTGAGCCAGGATTAAGGACTTGGCTGGACTCATGAACAAAGCACACACTTAAGTGCCTTATTGTGGTTTGAAGTGCAGCCACTCAAAGGATAAAAGTAGACAAAAAAATCCTCAAAAACTGAAAATCTTGAAAATCTGCATAATATATACATAGATGTCCTGGAAAGCTGCTTAGATCTAAGGAGCTTGGCTTAGGCTGCGGTTAATTTCGTAATTGGTGCAAGGACCTCAGGGAACGGGCTAAGGAACTGAATGAATTCCAAGGATCAGCCGATCAGGCACTCGACAAAGTTGTCAAATCCTTTAAGAACCAAAGAACCCTTGCAGAAATCGGTTTCTGAATGAAATGGTTTTGTGAATGAATATTACTTGCTTTTCAAAGTTCTTTTTCAAATCCTTAAATCTCGATAATCGCTGAAAAATAAAACACTTCTAGTCTTAGTTAAAAATAGGACATGGATAGGAACAAATTTTGAAAGAATATAAAACTATATTAGTATACATAGTTAGCGTCTGTCTAAAAATTTCTTTAAAAATATAAAATTCAAGTGAAAATATTTGTTAACAAGATTACTTCCTTAAATATTCCAAACTTAATTTAAATTCAATAAAATTCTTTTTAAAATATTGAAATTTTTCTATCAATTTCTAAAGGTTTTTAAGTTGTGGAAACTTCTAGAACTTCTTTTTCTAAAAGACATTTAATAAGGAATTTTGTAGAATTCTTCAAAACCCCATAAATATTCCAGAATATCTGTAATTTGTGAAACAATTATTATAATCTGGCTCGTGTTTGATCACGAGTTGAGATCAGCCACCTGGCCCAGGATGGTAATGGTAATGTAATATTTCCCCAACTATACAACATCCAATACCCCTACCCCTCTTAAAGAAAAACACATTGCGGAGGAGGTTACTGAAAATACCCAGGGATCCAGGATAATAATGAGTTATTACACGAAATGATTTATGAATATTCAATGGTGACATGTGCTCTCTGATCTCGCCTAACGGGAAAGCAAATCGCGGCACCCAAAGGACTTTAAGGACTTCTGTGTGAAACCGAATCCTGCCGATGACGAAAGGACACGAGCGAAGGGAACTAGAAAAGGACTTCAAGCCTTTTTCTTTTCGAAAACGGGACTTGAAATATGATCGAAGGTGGAAAAATCGAAAGGTGCACGAGGGGGGCGTGTCGCATTACCAATATTTAATAATAATTATAACGGATCCTAATGCCTAATAAGGATTTTCACTGTTAACGGTTGAAACGATGAACAGTTACCTCCAAAAAAAAAAATAATAATCTAAGAGTAGAAAATCCCCTACTTGCACCTGGATGGAGAAAATGTTGGGAAACTGGAAACTCTCTACCCACACTATAGCACCCAGTGTAGGTACATAGGTGAGGAAAAAGGACACAGTCTGATCGAATCGGATACGATCCGCAGATGCAGAAATTTTTACGGCCAGATCCTTTCTTGGATGGCACAGGCCATCCATTCCCATCCATACATCGTCCTTCTTTAATGGCCAAACGATTTTCAATTGATTTCTCCTTATTGTTCTCCTGGATATCTTGGATAATTTTGCATCATTTATCCTTCGGCATTGGCGCGTTTTTTTTTCTACCGTTCTTATTTTCTTATTATTGTCCTTGTGCGCCAGCTGCCTGAAGGAGGAGCCTGCCACAGGACACACAGCACACAAGACACGTAGGCACAGGACAATGAGGTCCTGCATACAATTAGCCAGGCGCTGGCAGAGTCTAGCGCCAAGTCAGCCTGAGAGGGTGCGAAATATCTTTCAAGGAGTCGGGGGTCTTGCAGTCAAGATATTTTGCTACTTTTAATGTGAAAAGTATATGGAGATTTATGTTTTTTTTTGTGTTCATTATTTTTGAAGATTATGAAATGTTTGAAAGGGAAGAAAAAGAGCCTTGAAGTTTTCTTTTGAAGGAACTTTTTAAGTAATAACCAAGTAATAACCCAAAAAAAGGATAGCTTCTTAAATCTTCTTAATAATTTTTTATCAAAAATATAATCATCTCTTCTGAAAACCCTAATGGGTTATCCTTCAAAAAACATCTTTTAAGAAAACCCTCTTCTCATACCTCTAAAAATACCCAAAAAATTATGCAAATTCCTAAAAAGAACTGCCATTATAAAATATTTATTTAATCCTTAAAAAGAAAGGATAATAAGCTGATCTAATCGATCATAAGTTTGGGTTAAAAAAAAGCGAATTCCCGAAATAAATGACATTTAGGATTTAAGCCGTTTGATCTCGCGGTTGCCCTAATTAATATGCACTTTCCATCGAAACATTTTCCGCCCTTATCCTGGCCAGGGATACACATGTGTTTTTGAAAAAGAAACAGCAACCGTTACGAAGGAATTTTTCCAGCACTTGCCATGCAAATTCCCAAATTTCCGAAAACAATTCCCACGTTACGGCACAGGACTTTTTTGGTTTTCGGTTTTTTATTTTGGCGGCACTGTCATTTATCAGGACGATGCGAAAGGACATACGGATGGAAGTGGTGCGACTCATTTGAATATCCTAGGGGCTTCACTTTGGGGTGAAGCACTCAAGCGCAGCATACCCTCGATATGCAAATAGATCCCCGGATCTCTGACAGTTGTAGCCTTTCATTTCCATGTCCTTTGCTATGCTTGGACGCGTTGGAAAATTAACATGATATGTCGCAGGATCACAGAATCTCATGTGCATGTTTAACGTCCATTAGTTGGTGCATTTATTTAGGGGTTTATTTTTAATCAAAAACGGATTCTTTATAGTGTTTTTTGTGTGTATATATTTCAACTCTCAACATGCTTAACTTAATTAATAAAATCTATGAAAAAAAAATTGATTTTAAAGAGAGAAAAAAATGCCATTTACTTTAATAAACTTATGCTTAAATATGACTTATGTTTAAAAATTAGGAATATATTTTTTTTTTGGTTTTATAATTGTTTTTGTTGAGGGGTTTTAGTTTTTGTTGAGGAAGGGGGGAAGATTTTGGTTAGTTGTTTTGGTTTATATCACTAGATGACTCCTTATTTCCATTTTTTACTTAAGTTTCTTTAACTATTTACACAATGACTTAGTCAAGTATATTTTTAATTTGTTAATTAAAAAAAAATAATTAAGATTTGAGGCTAAATGGTGGCTCCTGTGGCTTCCGATTTCGGCGTGTGCTGATCCCACCAGTCGATGGCGTCGATCATGGACTCGTCGGAGAGACAGCCACCGCCTGCGGCAGATCCGGAGCCCTGATCCTGCTGTAGGATATCGCTGAATTCCTTCTTAAATCCTGGCAGAACAACATTATCGTAGAAACTAACAGGCTCCTGGTCGTAGAAGGCGGGCAGTAGGATTTGTTGTTGGGGAGATTGTTGTGGAAAATTGGGGGAACTAGTGTTGGAATTGGTATTAGAATTGATGGTGTTGCTGTTGTTGTGGATATTATTGCTATTAAGATTGTTGTTGGTGACGTTGCTGGTGGTGTTGTTGTATTCCTGCTTGATCAATTGCTGTTGCAGCTGAGCGGCACACGCCTGCAACAGCAGCTCATTTGTGGCAGGTGAAACGTGGCTCTCCACCAAAGGCGACGAGCAGGGGCTGTTGTTACTTATGTTGCTGCTATCGTGTGGCACGGGCGATCGCGATAAGTTGCCAGTTTCTGTTGGTGTTGCTGCTGCAGATGTTGCACCTGGCAACTCGCTCAGTATATCTGCCGTTAGCAACTGATAGGTGTTCGTCCCCGGTATCCTTATATACTGCATCCCATTAATGGTAGTTAGGTTCGGCAGCATGTCCTGCGAGGGTTCTGGCACTGAACTGAGCCCGGCTTGTGGCTCCTCCATTTCGTAGTTGCTCAGAGAGTCATCGAAGTGCTCATCCAAGCCCTCGAATTCGTCCTTGATGAACATGAAACTATCATCCCCGGAACCGGAACTATTGGCTTGATTTCCCAGCGGTGGAAAATCAAAGCCCAGCAGCTTCTCCAGGGATCTGATGTACTCCACCGCCATTCGAAGAGTCTCTACCTTGGACAGCTTCTTGCTGGCCCCGCGTCCGGCTCCTTGTGCCTCGAAAGCCTCGGACACCTCTTCAGGGATCTTTTGACGCAGCAAGGCAAAGCCATTGTTGACTTGCTTCACGCGATTCCTTTCCCGGGCATTCCTTCTGGCCACCGCTTGGGGTAGGGGCAGGCCCTTGCGTCCTGGGGTTCCAGCCGCCTTGATGGTCAAATCCTCGCCAGGATTTGGCTTGGGCGTGGGAACCGGAACCGTTTTGATGGGAACTGCAGCCTTTGGTGGCTTTTCTTGGTTGGATTTCTTTGAGTTCTTAACGCGTTTGGCCTTGCTGGGCTGTAGATTTTGTATGTTCTGTAGATTCTGGACATTTTGTAGATTCTGCTGCTGGTTCTGAAGATTCTGCTTGTTGGACTCGCCCAGCGGTCGCTTTCGCTGAGTCGTGATGTTGGCACTACTGTTGGTACTGTTGGCGGCACTCTGTACGGCTCCCAGCATTCCAAAGTCCCGGATCTTTCGAATAATCGTATTCTGATTGGCGATATGCTGTTGCAACGCATTGGCGCCACTCTCCGACAGGACATTGTGGACGGTGATCTTGCCGAAGGGCTTTAGAGTCGCCTTCAAGCCCGTTGCATTCTCCTTGGTGGAGTCCTTGGACGTGGCGCTGACGGCAGGAGGTGGCGGCGATGGACTAAAACTCAAGGCAGCCATTTAGGATTTGGTTTTAGTTGTAGTTTCGTAATGTAAAAAAAAAAAACGTAATTATCCACGTTGGTTGGCAAGGTTTAGAAAGAATTTCGTGTCGCGTGCCCCGAACTCCGAGCTCGAACTGAAATCAACTGAAATAAAACCGAGCGGCGGAAGTGACTTCGTTGACTGACTGAATGCCACAACATAATACAGCAAGGAGCAAGGAGCAGGAGCAGCATATCCTGCGTGTATCCCTTATGTAAAGCACCACTCACATACACACACACACACACACACATGTATGACTTTTCATCCCCTAGACTGGGGTGTCCTTATTCCCTTTTTGCGATCGCAACACACTGGCGCACACCTCTGTATTATTTTTATTTTTTTTTTTTTTGGGAAAACTAACATCTGATCGACTCGAGCCACTCCACCTGGATACAAGGATACCACAAGGATAAGGGTGGATTTCGCCCCGACTGGCTCTGGCCGGCTCTCAGCATTTTATTTACCAAAAGCAAGAATGTTTATATACCGCCCCTCGGTTATGCATATAATAATAAGCGTTATATATATCCATGAAATGGAAAATATATATACATATATTCCTATATAGAAGAAGAGGAGCTTTATTACCAGAAAGGTACAAAAAATAGAGAGTGAGGTGGGAAAGATTCCCACACACACTCTGGCACTACCAAATAATAGATCACTTTAGAGATCCCAAGGGAGTCGAACCTGAGTCTTAAGCTTTGCTTAGAAATATAAAAAGGTATAAGTATAATTATTAATAACTTAACTATTAAATATATTATATATATTCCAAAAGCAGAAAATATAATAAAAGCAAGCCCCATTAATCACCAAATCCCCGCCCTGTCACTTTGTTTTAAAAATTCCACTTAATCACCAGACTTCCGCACAAAAAGAATAAATTCCATTCTCAAAATGTTGAAACTTTCCCTTAAAAAAATAGAAAAATAGAGGCAACTAATCAATATCCTGGTATTGTGCAAAATCATTTGCCAATTGTCAAGCTAATTAAGGAAAATTAAAGGACCTGGGAAGAAAGGATCTGGAATCTTGGTGAATTTGTTCGGCCATAAATCCTAATTAAAATTGACAGAATCCTTATAGGGGTGAATGCCAATACCAGTGGCAGTGGCATCCTTTCTCTGGCCACTTTTCTCAGATCCTTTAAGCAATTAGTTTGGTGGGAAAATATCTTCCTGCTTACCAGGTCCTTTAGCTTTTTTTTTTTCGTTCGTTTCGTTTTCGGGAAGCTTAAATTATTGTCTGTTTTTTTTTTTTGAAACTAGTTTCGGTGTGCTACAATAAACTTTTTCGGGTTCTCAGGTAGTCCTACGGAGACCTGAGTCCTGTCAGTCAGTCTCCTTGCTGGGAGAGCAAGGATATGTGTGTGTACCGAGTACTGTGTACTTGCTGCACAATTTATAAACTTGAGTTCACTTGAAAGGTTCAAGGAAACGACTTGACTACCGGTTTGTTTTTTTTTATATTCGTCTTCTCCGCAATCCCTCCTCCTCTCTTACCAAAAGCATTTACTTTTCAAAAAATGTTTCTTCAAAAAAAAGGAGTCAACAGTTGTGAGAGCTGCTGCTGCTGCAGGGTCCTTTGTTATCCTTCAGGCTTTGACTCGGTTGCGTCCCACTTTGACAAAACGACACGACACGCCTAGAAAGGCCACCCTCTGGATGGCAAGGATCTTTTGAGAAAAGGATCCAAGAAATTTTTTTTAACTAGATGATACTTGGTAAGATATAAGATAAACGATTATAAAGTTTAAAAATATTATTTTATAGATTTATGTAAGATATATGATTTTGTTAGAGTTTCTCGGATAGCAAAGAAGCAGGGCTTTGGGTCTCAATAGTTTGCCTTCCTTCAAAATAATACCATTTAAAAATTAAGCAAAACCCAACCTGGTAATAAAAATTATTATAATCATAAAAAATAATGCCACCCCTGGTGGAATTATAATTTGTCTGATTCCCAACAGGGTTGAATTTCTCATTATTCTCAATAATGCAATTCGGTTCTCCCAATTCTCTCTATAATTCTTATATTCTCTCACTTATAATCACACCCATACAGTCGCATACAGAGATATAGAAGAACTATATAACCATATACATAAGTATAAAAAAAAAAAAAACGTTTTAAAACTTTTTTTTAGGCACTTTGATGATGAAATTTTAATTGAAAAGCTTTCAGCTGAAAAAGCAAAAATCTACGAGGGTTGATCTATGGTATCTCATCATCATTTTTTTGGCAAAATAAAAACAAAAAAAGGATCAACTGCCTACATCCTGTTCTACAAAAATCTCGTATTATGTTTTCCATTTCAATTTTTGTGACTTTCATCTTTGGCGGCTTGAGAAAATACAACAATTTGTGCAAACAAAAAACTAATTTCGATCTTTCATCAGGTCCCTGGCTTATTTGCATTCCCAAAGCAAAAAAAAAAAAATAATAAAACGCATCGATTTCAATGGGAAAATACGAATTCTGAATCTCGAATCCTGTATCCTGCCCATCCTGAATGGGAAAAAGGGAGCGCCGTTGAAAAGAAATATGAATATAGATGATGAGTGAAATTTGAAATGGGAGTGAAAGCGGTGAGCAAACAGAGGCAGTCGAGCCCAAAACAATAAGGATCCTGGGACACATCCTTTCTCTCCATTCACACTCCACACACTCGGCGGCAGTCGTCCTTCTTTTGGTAGGAAGGAGGCTGTAAATCAATCAGGCAAAGCATTCAAAGGACTTTGACTTCGACTGGAAATTAGCTTGGAAGGCGCCGAGTGAATGAGAGTCCTTTCGGCGGCCCTCATGTCCTGTGTACTTGTCGTCAGCTCAAGTGCCTTGATCCTCCATCCTTGCTGCTTGACAGCATCTGTGCACAGTTGTACCTTCATAAATTTCATATTTTTTTCTTAGGTTTTCTGTTTTTTTTTTTTTTGGCATTTTTGTGTTTGTGAGTGAAGCGGAAACTTGAAGAAACGGAAGTCTTGCTGTGGAAGTTCTCGAACTTGCAGGATTTTAAAATTTTCAAGAAACTTAGGAATCACTCTGCGGGGTATATAATGGTTTAATTTGGGCTTCTTATAAAATATTTCTTAAGAGAAGTTTAGTTTATTTTAATTTGAAACTCTTAGAACTTAGAGATAGATTTTCTTTCTAAACTATTTCATAATAAAGCTTAAATACTTTTTATTATTTTGTTTATTTTTAAAGTTCCCCATACATATATCCTCTATAGACTTTAATATTCCTATTCCTATAAACTTGGCATACTTTTAGGTGTTTGGCCCTTGTATCCTCCTTTTTGTGAACATTTTCCCGAAATTTCCGCCCCTAGGCTTGCGCCAAAAGTGCGCCGATCTGCAATCTGGGATCTTAAATCCGGAATCGGCGATCCCGTCCAGTTTCTCGACACATTTCGCCATTAAAGTCCCGGCGAATTTTCCTACAAAAAGTCGAACGCGCAGCTGAGTGGAATTTTCGGTTTTATTTTCATTATTTTTTTTTGGGGTGCGATATCCTGCGCACGTGCCCATGTCCTTACTACTGTACAAGTATGCGTGTGCGTGCCAGTGTGTGTGCGTGTATGCAAAGGAATTGAAATTGGAAGGGATCGTGCCCTACCTGGGACTACCATGACTATACGGATCTGGTCGTTGTCCCGCGCTTTTCGGTCGCTCTTTCGGGGGTTGACAACCAACAATAAATTACCTTTCACCCTCGCCCTCTTGCCGTCTCACTCTTAATGTCTCACCCTCTCCCTCTGGCCGCTTTTTTGGGCCATGTGCCATGACTATAGCCGATTCTGATTATGATCCAATCCGGACATATATCGCCAAAGGCGATATTACACAGGGGGAAAAATAATTGAAAGAGTATAGAGTTTTGGGATACAAATTTGTATCTTCAAATATAAAATAAGGACTATAGATTTTTAAAAATTTTTTCTTTAAAAATACAGTTTTTAAAATTAAAGCTTATGTTCGAAAAATGGTTCAAGAATTACAAAGAAGTACGGGGTATCAGATAGCTCTTTAGCTTTTAAGCTTAAAAAATATTACATTTTAATATAAAACACTTTCTTTTAATAATTTTCAAAGTGTAAGAGGATAGCGACCGGTTTTGTTTGAAAAAAGGGGCGCAGGATCTCCCTCGCATAGTCTCTATCTCTTTCTCACTCTTTGTTGTCCATTTTCCCTATACACTACACACTCATATAACTGCATACATGTATATATATACTTATATATCCAGAGTCCTGTATCGTGTCCCGTGCTGGGGTCGCTGATCGCCAACGTCATCGTCATCCTGCCGCGAAAAACATCTGCTCCTGCTGCAGCCAGTTCTCCACCCCTCCCCGCCCTCCCTTTCGCCCAGTGTGCCTCCCCCGTCTCCTGTTGGCAGGACCTACCCCACCCCCGTTACCCTCCTCCCCATACTCGCCAGAGAAAAACCATCCAGCAACCCCTGTGCCAGCCACTCCTGTATTCTGTAGCCTCTGGCATTTTGTCAATAGCATTGTCCACAAAGGTCCTGGCAGCACAGGATTCCGCAGGATTAGCCCAAACTCCCCGTGTATTTGCTCTAAGGATCTGTGAGCAAGGATCGGTGGTAGCTTTTTGACCAAAAAAGCAGCCAAAAAGCTGTTTTTTTTCTTTCTTCTTTTGGAGTGGGAGTGGGAGTCCTTAAACATGGTTCCCTTTTTTTTTATGATTTTAGGCTTTAATGTTTGTTTTATGGGATATATTTCATAAGGTTTATAGGTTTTTTTTGTTGGGTTTTGTTTATTTTCCTTGGTTTCTTTGGTTATGAATAGTTTATGGGATCGTAAGGATCTTTTAGGGCCTTAAAAAAACTGACAGGAGCCCTTAATACATAGTCCTTGTCTTTATACATATGGATATAATTTTTATTTCAATACTTCATCCAATAACTTTCATTTCTGAATGTCCCTAGAACTTCAAATAGTATCACCAACTATTTATAAATTTTATAATCAACCCTCTCTCCGCAGATCCTTGCAAATATATCAAAATGCTATGGGTGGCTCTTAGTTAGGTAATTTATTTAAAAAATTATATTCTTTTTGTACTTTCAGGACAATCGTACAACGAGGGTGAGTGCGCAGGAGCAACAGGATTCGCAATCGGAAT